ACTGATGGCAGGGCACTTTTTTTTATGATGTCATGTACTTTTTTTTGGGTGCATTTGTTCTACTAACTCAGATTGTAGTCAGACTTTACAAACACCCAAATAATGCCAATAAGTGTAGGCAATCGCCGTTCATTATCCCAGAAAAATCACAGATCAGATCTGTGTTCTTTCCCTGCCCATGTCAATCTTGATGGGGTTTTAATCTTTTAGTCTGTCCTCTGCTTTTTTCCCACAAAAGAAATAGAAAATGGATTCAGGAAATGAAGCATCCATTGGAAACTTTACAACAAACACTGATAACATAAGATGTGCCTGACTGGATCCCCTTAGATCAGTTTCCCAAACTCTTCTTAGTCATGGCGCCTTTTTTCAATTAAAATGTTTTCCACAGCGCCCTAACCTAAGTAAAAGTATGACTATTCGTATGTAAGAGATAACAAAAATGGTATCTCTTCGAATATTTCACGTCGCCCCTGTAAAGAGGTCGCGGCGGCGCACAGCTTGGGAATCACTGCCTTATATGATAATAAAAGGGTTGTAATGGATAGAAAAGAACTAAGTAATCTACTGTGAGCCCTGTGTGATGCATAAAGGGGACAAACGGATGATGATATAGAACAGGGCTATTTAACAGGCTGCCCAAGGGTCAAATCTGGCCCACGGATAAATATAATTTGTATTGTATTAATGATAATTCTATGTTGCAACTCCGGCCTCTGGCCCGTGACGATCCTCATTTTCAAAATTGTGACCCCTGTAAAAACTTAGCTAAATAGCCCTGATATGGAACATGTACTCTGTTGGTTAAAATGGGTACCAGGTGATTCCCTGGGAAGTAAAGGCAGCCAGATGATGCTGACCACATCATTCATCAAGGGCTGTTTGGTCTACCTAAAACATAAGTCTTACATGATACACTTGATGTGCCACTTAATATTTACTTTTTTAACGCTCTTGTGCCTAAAGAGGAAAAAAAAGGTGAACTATTGCCTTCTAATAATAGTTGTGGACATCAGTGATCTAGATTGAATCTTTTTTCTGTATTTTTTGTCCATATTCTGCCGCTAAGCGTCGGAGGTTAACTCTTTGAGTACCAAGGAACGCATCATACGTTCCTACCTAGAGGCCCAATGAACGCATGATGCGCCAATTTAACGTCTCTTTTGACTACCCCTTGGGCCTGTGATGCTAAACCCCCTGGGACTCAAAGAGTTAATAAATGACTAGCTTCCGAGCCAGGGTGCAACGCTCGGTTGCCCGGTATGTTGTAACATTGTGGAGTCTCAAGGTATCAGTGACTCCTTCAAAACATCTTCTTGGTCATCCCCTACCTCTTGGTGATTCTACTCTCATGTAGTATGTTCTCATTGCTGACTTCAATGGATTCCTTCTTATTAAATATACTTAAAACATTTCAGTCTGGTTTTTTTTCTTCAATGAATTTAATTACAAGAAGCGTTGTTCAAATAGTCCTTGTAATTCATTCAATACCAGTGTATGAAAATAGGCATGAGTCGAAGTACATTTCAGCTAAAATCTTGTTCCCATCATGACCTCACCAGTGCCCTTATTAAAGAGTTCAAAACAAATTTCTAAATTAAAATACACTGTCTATACACATGCATAAACTTTCACAATAAAGAATGAGGCTACATCATGGCCTATAAGACTAGCCGGGATGTTCACCTGGTCAACAAATATTCAGTGAAATCGGATGTGTTGGCCGAAAGGCACAAATATCGCAGCTGTGCTGTAAACAAGCAAAACGTAGTTATGTCGCTCAGACGAATGAAAAGAAGAACATACCCACTATGTCTAAAAACTAGACAGTTGCATACACTTCCAAAGCTGCATATTTGGCAACTGCCCATAGATGTTATGTCATCAAAAACCTGTAAATATGTAAAGTCAGAAAACGAGCCTTGCTGGTGCGACATGGTTAGACTTGTATATGGTGCTGTGCGGTTAGGTCAACAATTCAAGTAAACTAGCCATATCAAGGATACCAATTTGTTTTTTCCCCCATCAGATCCCCAAAATAATGTTGCACGCCCCCTGTCTTGTAGAAACATTAAGCTACTGGAAAGAGGCATTGGTTATGTCAGATGTCTATAGTATACCCTACCAAAAACAAAACAATATATGACACGCTGGTGTGATGTGTTGTTTGGGGCTGAAAGAGTTCATCAACATTTGGAGTGCATCAACGCTCAACAGGCTAACAATAAACCATAAAACAGTGTTAAACATCTTCATATGTTGGAATGGTATAATAGTTAGTGCACCTCTACTAGCAGAGTTGTCAAGGTTCAGTCTCATGGTTCTTCTCTCCAGTCAGCATGACTCTACAGTCAGCATGACTCTCCAATCAGCATGACTCTGTACAGTCAATCTACCCTTATAAAAGGGGTACCAGTAAAACTAAATGATTCTGGTGAATGAAAGACTAAAGAAAAGTGATTACTCTTGTCAACCACTTTCCCTCCCCCATTACACTATAACAAGAAATGAGATACTTTACACACCAGTAAACACAAATGGAATTATTTTTTTTACCTTAAAGCAAAAAATGTTTTTGCACTGAAACCCGCAGGGACATAGAAAAAAAGAAGAAGAAAAAACACATGGAGAAAGGAGCCAGAGAGAGAAGTTAAAAAGATGGGGAAGACATGGGAAGTGCTTCATACAATAGCAAAGGACAGAACTTGGTGTGAGTTGGTTGATATGCTCCGTTAGGGGATAGAAGGCAGAAGACGAATCAAAACAAAATTTCAGACAGAAAAGGTCTCACATGAGAAAATAAAGTACACATTCTGTCAAAACATACAAACCCTTGAAGCAGTAAACAAATTTTATTGAAAATATGCAATGCTAAGTGGAAATCAATCATATAAACATTTCATGTGATTTTTGAAAAATGACAAATGTATGTAACAACAATGTATCTTACACTTGTACATCAAGCTTCAATGGGTTTAACCTTCAACTGATACTAGAGATTTTAGCCAGGTCACTGAATATACAGAAAATGTACAGCACACTGCACAAATCTGGGAAGACAGAAAAGCAAATAATCTGATTTTTCTGTGATTTATTTACACCGACAGTTGCTGCAACTTCTGCAGTTTTAACTTACAGTAAATACTTACTTGAAAAACTCTTATTGGGAGCCGCCACGTTGTAGCGGCTAGAAACTAGCCTGCGGATCTTAAGGTCGTGGGTTCAGATCCTGATGGAGCCTGACTTTTTCCAAAACTGACCTTGGCTTCCAGGTCAACCCAGCCTTAAATAGGTACCCGGGAAAGTCCCGTGAAGTAAATGTGGCTGGTGTGGTGCTGATCATATCACCCTACTCGTGCTGACTGGTCTATCAAATACAGGTCTGGCCCTATATGCCCAATGGGCATGAAGACATGGTAAATGGTTCTTTACCTTTTTAAAACCCTTATCACCTTTAAAACTAAAAATGCATGTCTGGTACTATTTAATCATCTTTCCACATGTGGGACCCGGGATTCCATTTTATGGAGATGAAAAAAAAAAAAAAAGACCCACTGCCCTAGGGTAAGTTGATTCAAGAACCGACATCACAGCACTCTGGGCATTCCAATAAGCACTCCATTCCATCTTCAACAGCCGGCGCAGAGTTTAAATACTAATGGTGCCAGTAGCATTCTGATGAAACTTCCGTCTTGCCTTTCTTCTGAGTGTCGAGCATCGGCCAGAACCCCTTGTCATTTCTTGCAACCCTTGGTCCCTTGTCAATAACAATCCTTCCAATCATTGGTCCCATTATTACTTCTTGCCATTGCTCTCCTCAAATGGCCCATCCTGCAACCCTTGTTCCCTTCGCATTTCTTACAACCCTTGTTCCCTTCACATTTCTAACAACCCTTGTTCCTTCCATATTTCTTGCAACCCTTGTTCCTGTCACATTTCTAACAACCCTTGTTCCTTTCACATTTCTGGCAACCCTTGTTCCCTTCACATTTCTTACAACCCTTGTTCCTTTCACATTTCTGGCAACCCTTGGTCCCTTGTAAATAACAATCCTTTCAATAATTGGTCACAATATTGCTTCCTGCCATTTCTCTCATTAAATGGCCCATTCTGCAAGCCTTGTTCCCATATGAATAACATGTCGTGCAAACAATGTTAATTTTTTTTTTATATTTAAAAATAATCATTATTACCCTATAATAACCCATGTTCCCTTTCAGCAAAGAACTGCAACCTATGTTTCATTAACAAACTCATTTGTGCCTGTATATTCTAGCAAAGCTATGAATGCTTTCAGCACTCTGCTCAGTGTTATATATCTCAATATTCTAGCAGAGCTAAGAAAGCTTTCATGGCTTTGCTCAGTGTCAGGCATCTCAATATTCCAGTCAAGCTAAAAATGCTTTCAGCACTCTGCTTAATATCAATAGTCTCAATATTCCTGTGAAAGCTAAGAAAGCTCTTAGAACAATGTTCAATGTCATGAATCTCAATACCAAGAAAGCATTCAACATTTTACTCAATGTTAGGTATCTCAATATTCTAGCAAAGCCAAGAAAGCTCTCAACATTTTACTCAATGTTAGGTATCTCAATATTCTAGCAAAGCCAAGAAAGCTCTCAACATTTTACTCAATGTTAGGTATCTCAATATTCTAGCAAAGCCAAGAAAGCTTTCAACATTTTGCTCAGTGTTATGCATCTCAATATCCTAGTGATACAAAGAACACATTTCAACATTTTACTTAATGTCATGCATCTCAATATCCTAGTGATACCAAGAAAGCTTTCAACATTTTGTTCAATGTTATGCATCTCAATATCCTAACGATACAAAGAACACTTTCTAACATTTTACTCAATGTTATGCATTTCAATATTCTAGCAAAGCTAGAAAAGCTTTCAACATTTTGCTCAATGTTATGCATCTCAATAATCTAGCAGAGCTAAGAATTATGAAAGTTTCTGCACTCTGTTAAATGTCAGTCTGACTAGCAGCCATCATTTCTTGAAAGACGTATCCAAGCAACGATGAAGGGGGATAACAAAGGCAGAAATATCATCAAATGAAGCTTCTTGACCATTTTTCATCTTCCATCCTCTTCCTGTTTTCTCTCCCCTTGCCATAAGTACCAACTGATGTGCAACTCTTGTGTACCTGAGGCAGAGAAAACAAATGAACTTTAAATGATGAAATCAAATATCTCAGTTTCTTAGATAGAACAGCAATATGTATATACTGGTTTCAAGTGGATTCTTTAAGGAAACATTAAATTTCTGTGTCGAAAGTTACCATCAACCAATTCTTACTGCTACTTAGTGTATCATCAACCATTTCTTACTGTTACTTAGTGTATCATCAACCATTTCTTACTGTTACTTAGTGTAACATCAACCATTTTTTACTGTTAGTGTATCATTAACCATTTCTTACTGTTACTTAGTGTATCATCAACCATTTCTTACTGTTACTTAGTATATCATCAACCATTTCTTACTGTTACTTAGTATATCATCAACCATTACTTACTGTTACTTAGTGTATCATCAACCATTTCTTACTGTTACTTAGTATATCATCAACCATTTCTTACTGTTACTTAGTATATCATCAACCATTTCTTACTGTTACTTAGTATATCATCAACCATTTCTTACTGTTACTTAGTGTGAGTTGCCTCTTTTCAAGAAAAGAAAGCAGCCCTCATATTTAATACTGTCAAAACTGCCTGCTGCCAGTATTTACCCCTTCTGCAGTGGCAGGTTAGTCTTGGTGCCTGAGGTTTTATGGCCACATGGATAGTGCTGCCACTATGGACTGTGAAGATTAGGATTGTATCTTTGCCTCAATAGAAAAAACTGACCTTACCGAGGATCTGAACCTGATAAAATTACATGGCATCTTAATTGCTGATACTTTTTACTGTTGCATTATTAATCCATTCAGCACCTTACAACTCAACTGTCCTATACAGCTAGTTAGCCGACAGATTATCCTCATTGCACATTCAACCGTCTATACAGCTTTCCACAGAGTATTTCTATGCATAATGTCATTACCCCTTTTTGAAATTTGCAACAACAAAAACATTACATACATCTATTCTATTATTCCCAGTTTATATATATATATTTGTATACAGCCTAACTACTTTTAGGTGATTAAATGAGGGAAAGATGGGAGGAAGAGAGAGTGAAAAATAATACAAACTTTCCCAAAGCATATCCAACATTTGGTAATACATCTATGATTAGTCGATGAGAAGTCTCTTAGGGAAATACAATGAGACAGACACAAAGCTTGGTAATCAATTGAAAAACACACCTGTCTAAGCTATTTTCTCCAGGTGACACGGCCAGTGATGCCTTCACAGCCAAGCCCACTTGTTCGTTGCTCAACATATCCCACAGACCATCGCAGCCCATAACCATTACATCATCCTCCTTGATGTCTCTGTCAGCCAGGTTGAACACTCGAACCTAGAATGATAGAAAGTTTCTCATGAAAATAAACAACCAAATCATTCAGATCACATTTTCCTTGAAAATAAAACAACCAATCTATTCACAAAGTCACTACTTTGACAAATGTAATGAATCTGCATCAAGTTGTCTGAAACAGAGAAAAAAAAACACAAATAATACCTCTTCCTAGCATTCACGAGCTGTAAATTCTAGTGGAAAGTTCTGGTTGTTTTGCCACTTCTGCACCTAAGTCTTGTTACAGAACTTCACCTGCAGATTTTTTTTTTTACAGATCTGGTTTACTTGTATGCAGACTGTTAGTTCCTCGCTGCTCAGACAGATGTTTTCCAACTTCAAAGGAAAAAATATCCAATTAGTCTCTTTTTACAACATATTTGTTAGGGAGGCAGTGGGTCTATTCTTTTTTGGACCGACCATAAAATACATTTTTTTTTTCAGATATGCCAACCGGAAACTAATAATAAAATATTCCTGCTGGGACCAATATTTTGTTCATTTTAACTAAGTGTTCTTAAATGAGTTCATGTTAGCGGGTTTAACTTAGTTCCCCACTCACCCTGCCTAAACTGTTCTATCCGTCCATGGTATTTTTTGCACCTTTCACACAAAACATTAGACGGGTTCTAGTATTTTTATTTCAAACTTTACTCACAAACTGTGATATTTACCTCTGGAACTGCTGTCGGAAGCACTAGACTGTGCTAGTATTTTTATTTTAAACTTGACTCACAAAATATGATATTTACCTCTGGAACTGCTGTCATAAATGGCTTCACGTGAATGTCTGTATTTGGTACAACAAGACCATGGTCACCAAAACCACGAGTAACACCGATTACACCCATGAGACGAGCCTGTGAAGTAATCAAATCAGAAGTTAAAGAATGCAAATCTATCAACTGTTATAAGTTTGATATAAATCTGGCACATTCAATGACAATTCTTCGTCTTTCTTCTGCTTTGTATCTCCCCACTGGAGCAGAGGCCCTCAACCAGCTCAGATTATGTCGTCCTATCGCTTTCGCATGCAGCCCTATGTCTTCCCCATTTTTTTCAACTTTACTCTCTAAGTCCTTCTCTGTGTTTTTTGGTCTGCCTTTTATTTCCATGCCCCTCCGAGTTTCAGTGTAAGACATTCTAGTTATAGTTCTCAACATGTGTCCTATTTAACGCCAGCGTCTGTTCTTCACCTACTGATTCACAGGAGTTTGGTTTGTTCTCTCCCCTTTAGTGATTTTACCATACTATCTCATTTCTTTGATTCTACTGCAGTTACCAGCAAATGAATGTCTGTAGTTTAATTGGTAATTGTTTTATTACAGAAAAACTGATTCAATGACAAGGAAATGAACTAAATGATAATCAAGTTTCCAGGAAATCAGTATTCTATTTCTCAGTCATAAAAACAGAGATTTTTTTTTTTAATGTAGACCACTGTTCCATGCTTCTTTCTACCTGCACAGTACAAATTTTGTTTCTGATATTTCAAAATTTCTGAACTTATTTTAATGTAATTACTTAACATTACCTAAATCTATAAACCTAGAGAAACATCTGATGGTAATAAAAAATAGTTCATAGAAAAAAATGAAGAAAAATTTTATTTTAAGAAAATTAAACTATCACAGCTGATTGGCTAATGCTTCAAGACTGCTTGCCTTCACTAACACAACACTGTGATTCTGTTATTTTGCTTGTACTTTTTACTGTCTAAAAAACAAGGAACAGATTCCAAGAACGGCTGCCTAACTTCTCTGCCAGCGGAAGCAAGCAACAGAGGTCGGGTAGTGCTGCTTTTTTGTTACTGTCAACAGGAACAAGCAACAAAAGGCAAGTAGAGCTGCCCCCCCCCCCTCCCATTGCCAACAGATACAAACGGATTATAGTGAGATTATGATGATGTAATAATTACATCTATATTATTTTTCTTAACCCAAAAAAAAATACATTTTTGTTGTTGTAAATATAATCTTACCCACATCTACACTCTATGCAGATGCAACCAGTTCTAAAGCTGTTACAGAGGTGTAGTGGCCACTGACCAAAGACTTCACGTCATCAAAAACCTGCATGCTTGCTCGGGGTTGCCAGTTTTAACTTTACAACCATTATGTGATTTTAGCAATGTATGAACTTACCCATTTCCCACGACCAGATACTATTGGTAGTTTGTACACGTCCTCGTCTGTCACTTCCTTGCAGTGCCTGAAACAAACATTTTGAAACAATTATTCCTTATGAAATGTCCACAATTCCACACTCATCAATTAATTTAACCCTACCAGACCTGATGCCCTGAACCTATCTGCCTTCTATGCCTGAGCATTACAGTGAAAAAAACCAACATGATATACAAAAAAATTAGTTACATGCAAACAAGTGGCTAGAATAAGATGAAACTTGGAGACATTGTAGAAAATAGGTTTACCATTTATCTAACGCCAATATTCCACCTTTATGTACTAATCTACCCAGCAGGATCAACCTTGTTTCACAAAGTGAACACCAGATCTTGCTGTTTGAGGGACACGCCCCCTTCTAATTTCTATCTATTTCTAGATTTATAATTTTCAAGATTCTCCTCATCATTCCAGCTCTCACTGACTGTGTCACTTCAACCAGGAATGTATTCTTCATTAAATTATGACTCCGCAGAGTCTGAATCAACCAAAGTATCGATCACCTGTTGGACTGTGAAAAGCCTAGACCTACTTCACTTTCCTGTCGAAGTGCTTGGTTCATCAGCCGATCATTTTATAGTAAATTTTCTGAATTGTTTCAAGTAAATCAACACAAATTTAATCCAAACATGTGCGGGCGGACATCCACTTGTGGAGTATCTAATCTTCAGGAACTTGTGTGGATGATATTATACAGATCATGCAAGATATTATACAGATCATGCAAGGGTGCAAAATATTATACAGATCATGCAAGATATTATACAGATCATGCAAGATATTAAACAGATCATGCAAGGGTGCAAGATATTATACAGATCATGCAAGATATTATACAAATCATGCAAGGGTGCAAGATATTATACAGATCATGCAAGATATTATACAAATCATGCAAGGATGCAAGATATTATACAGATCATGCAAGATATTATACAAATCATGCAAGGGTGCAAGATATTATACAGATCATGCAAGATATTATACAAATCATGCAAGGGTGCAAGATATTATACAGATCATGCAAGGGTGCAAGATATTATACAGATCATGCAAGATATTATACAAATCATGCAAGGGTGCAAGATATTATACAGATCATGCAAGGGTGCAAGATATTATACAGATCATGCAAGGGTGCAAGATATTATACAGATCATGCAAGGGTGCAAGATATTATACAGATCATGCAAGGGTGCAAGATATTATACAGATCATGCAAGGGTGCAAGATATTATACAGATCATGCAAGGATGCAAGATATTATACAGATCATGCAAGGATGCAAGATATTATACAGATCATGCAAGAGTGCAAGATATTATACAAATCATGCAAGGGTGCAAGATATTATACAAATCATGCAAGGGTGCAATGAAATGACAAAACAGATATGGTAGCTTCTGAAGTATCTACCACTGAGACTGAAGATGGACAGAGCTATGACATGCGAGGTTTGTCACATGTGGAATATCTTATCTTCAGGAACTTGTGTGGATGATAGTAATTATTATACAGATCATGCAAGGGTGCAATGAAATGACAAAACTGATCTGGTAGCTTCAAAAGCATCTACCACTGAGACTGAAGATGGACAGAGATAATATAGAGGTTGCTATAGGACAATATTCTGACAGCTAAGTGAATGTGGAATCACCTCTTGGTGAACTACCTTGACAATAGCTACTGAAGTGGAGAAAAGGAGTATGGAATAGATTGAAATAACCAGACCCAAAATCTCAAGACGCAAATAGCCAGCTCGCAACATTTAGCATCCACACATTCGGGGTAACAGGTGGGAAAGAATGGACACTTAATGCACTTGAAATTAGTGTTACAGTAATGATTTTTCACAATAATCACAATTGCATTAGTGTAAACCCTTAGCCCCTTCGCAGAAACAGAAAATGACCTAAGCAAATTCCTACAAAGATTAATCTAGCCTGATAGTGTTGATAAAAAAACACTTTGAAGCTATGTGAAGAAATAAAATGAAATGCATGGCAGCTGACGAGTTAAGAATAGTTACCATCCAGCTCTTTGAGGAGCTCTGTAGAGCACCCGGGTTCCAATATCTTTTTCTCGTAGAGGACTGAGAAAATAGTTGTCACTGAAGAAGGAATGAGTAAGTCCAGGATTTATGTAGGCCTGGGAAAGATTAAAATAATTCAAAGTAAATACGAAATAGTAAATTTCATAACATGCTTGTATTATATTTAATCTTTGCTATGTTCTTTTAATAACTGATCTACACTAAAAATACAGACCATTCTGCCACTGTGTTTCAGAAGGCTTATAATTTGTTGGCACTTGCGATCTGCTTCTTGGTGCCCACTGGCGGTAACCTCTAGTAGAAAGTAAGTTCTGGTTGTCTGTCCAGTTCTGGACTTCAATCTTCTTCCAGAACTTGAGTTTTGTGTGCACATCCATTTTTACAGATCCAGCTTATTTGTATGCAGACTGTTGGTTCCTTGCCTCTCAGGTAGATGCACTCTTGACTCTGAAGGAAACATCCTTAATTAGTTGACTTTTACGACATGCTTCTTTATGTTATGGTCACAGATACAGCTTATTTGTATGCAGATGGCAGGTCCTTGCCTCTGATGCAGATTTACTCCAACTTTAAAGGACACATACTTATTTAGTCAACTTTTATGACATCCTTGTTAGAGTGGCACTGGGTCAATTCTTTTCCTCTCTAAAATGGGGCCCCAGAACAAACACGAGAAGTCTGAGCCACTAACATGCTGTATGTTCAGTTAGTTGGAAAGGGGATGGGGGGTGTTTTTTAAATTATAAACTGACAATTCTGCTCAAGATTATCACTGATCTGTAAATAAATTAATATACCAGGTTCTGGATTCTTTCAGCGTCAGTTTCAGGTGTGAATTCTGTGGCAATCTCAATAGTTTCATTTCCAAAAAAGATGACTGCCCTGAAAGCAAACCATGGCGGAAAAAAATCAGTACACGAAAGAACAAATGGATGATATAAACACAGACATAAAAGTGATAACATCAAACAGAAAATTAAGTGTGAAAATATTTAAGATAAGGTAGTATTCTCAGCTAGGTGTCGCGAGTCTGACTCATAATCCAACGTACCGCAATCGAAACCCACTTCTGGCTGCGTGGATTTTGATCGTAGTATGGGGTGTCGCAGGTCGACCCAGCCTAAAATGGGTACCAGGATGGCTGTCCTAGGGAAGTAAAGACAGCCGGCGTAATGCTGACCACAATACCCATCCGGTGCCGATTGGTCTGTAAAAATATGGGACGCTCTGCCCATATACCCGATGCACCTTAGGCGTAATAATGGATCTTTCATTATTTTTTTTACTTAGTATTCTCAGCTGACAGCTTCAACCAGAAATCATCCTGAATACACAAACCTTTTTGCAGACTTGGCAAACCAAGAAAATCTTCTTTTGTGTTTGTTAAATATTAATATTCCATGAGAACTTTATTCCCATTCATGTGGTATCAATAACTGCAAATGTTTGTAACAAAGTCAAAACACAAAAAAAAAAACAAATAGGATTACAGTTTAAAAGTGATCCTATTTAGAAAATCTGTGCCTCACGTGAAACAGTATGCCATTTACCGAATGCTGCTCTCTTCGGGACACACCTAAAAGTCTTTCTTTCTCTAGCTCAAGTCTCCAGCGCTGCGTGCTTTCATAACCAATGCATCTTCAACGTCCTGTATCCATGGCATCTGCCTTGGTTTCCAGAAAACTACCCCCTCCATCCCTGTCTCATTACCATATATTATTCTATTCTGGTGATACAAATAGACCAATCTTAAAAACAATATTACAGTTGAGGCCCCCTACCCCTGACCCCATTTTTGTAGATTACTAAAGTCAATAATCACTGCCTATTTTGTTAATTTACCAGAGATGTTAAAGTTAGTTGACTATCCTTTACAGAAAATTGCAGAACCAACCCCAGCATTGGCGGTTGTGGTTTTTCTAGACAAATTTAGACCCAGTAGTTTGCCATTGCTTTCTGGGCGGTCGGCTTTTCTATATTACTGTCAAAACCGGCACCCGGCGTTACAAAGCGTGTGCACGATGCCTAAGCCACAGATACCAGAGATGTAAACACACATAATACTGAAAGTTTTGTAACCTAATATCTAACCTGCCAAATTGGCTTATATGTACAATGTGATTATCTTTTAAACACAAATAATGCAAACCTGCAATCTCCTGCATGTGCTACATAGAGTTTGTTCAGCAAGACAAGAGCAACTATGGCAGCACAACCTCCACTAATATTAATGGACAGACGTTCTCGGGCAATCTGTTCATCCTTTTGTAAGAGTAAAAGCAAATGTAAAGCTAAACTTAAAAAAAAAAAACACACACACAAAAACAGACATTAAGCTACATTTAAACAACAAAACATCAAAGATAAGAAATAATGACATCATGCAGGGGAAAAAAATGTATGCATAGAATTTCTCAGTGTAATTAACATTGTTGCTACAGAAAGTAAATCACTGCAGACAAGTGTTCATCATGAAAAGGCATTAGTTTTACACAAAACGCCGACTTGTTTCCTCTGAATTAATGTAAATTTGCTTTTTTAAATATTATTATCAATGAGATATCTTTGCAGACCTTTTACTTTAAAAGAAATTATTTTATTAATTAGTCAGTCCCTTAACCTGTTGTTACATTTTTTCTTCCTTTTCTTGTGACTGCTCTCCGATTTACACCGACAAACGAGTTCTTGTGATAAAATTTACTGTTTTTAGGAGTTCATTTTTATTTCCATACAACTATGAGCACAGTGTCAACTCACTGGGTCAATATGCCCTTTTGAATGGGCTATACAAGAAACAGTCTCTTTAATTTTTCTTCCTCTTCTTGTGAGCGCTCTCTGATTCACACTGACAGATAAGTTCTTGCGATAAAATTTACTGTTTTTGGGAGTTCACTTTTAGTTCCACACAATTCTGAGCATAGTGTCGACTTACTGTGTCAGTATTCCACATGGGCACAATGGTGAACTGCTCAGCTGAAGCCTGTGCATACGCTTGTTGTTGCTATATAAAATTATAAGTCTACAGCTAAATTTTTCTTAGGTATGGAAGAGGGCTAAATGTTTTGAATGTCAGGTAATTAAAGCTCATTCTCTATCTACTAGTCTAGACCCCTGTCAATTTGCTTCGGGCCATCACTATCCAGTTTATCTCCGGTGTAAGATGTAGATTTCTTTTACAACACTTGCCAGGGATGCTATGAATCCAACACGAATCTTTACAGAAACCTATATTCACTTTGCAGCTAGCCAAAACCAACAACGAGAGTACAGAATAAACCCAAGTCAACCCAGCTTAAAATGGGTGTAAGGAAATGTCAGAGGAAGTAAAGATGGTCAGCATGATGTGTGCTGACCAAACCCACCGAGTGCCAAGTGGTCTAAATGTCATGAAAAGTCATCTTCCTTACTGTGTCAATAATCAACTGACTAATAAAATGCGAAGAAATGATCAGAGAATTGCCAAAAAGTGGGAAATAAAGGCGACAAGGAAGCAAGGACGCCCAAACAAAATCCTGAAATGAACGTTGATGGGAGCAGCCAAAAGTGCTGGGCTGGATTTTATACATGATATTTAAGGAACTGCATGGGTAAAATGAATGGAGGAACAGTCTGTGATCCTTATAATGGCAATGAATAATACACTATCAAGGGTATCAAATGAGCTAATCACATGTAGAAAAAGTAAATATGCTTCAACACCATGCTAAGACAAGAACACTCAGTGTAAATATCTAAGACAATGATGCACACACAAATTATCTCCAAAATGGAATATTGGAGGATGGAAAATACCACAATTAGTAGAAACAAACCAACATTAACAGTTTTCAAACAAGAAATCAACTGTGCTTAGAATACAAACATAAATGAATACAAGTGATAAGTGTAAACAGGCAACAATGATGCAAGCCCACTGCAAGTCATAGGTAACAAGAAACAGTGAAATTCTTCAAAAGAAGAAATTGATAATTTTCAGAAAAACCAAACATGCATTGCTAAATGTAGTACTGAAAGAATAGCTCTCTTCCCCTCCAACTTCTCAAGGTCCTGACATACTCTTCTTCTTCTTCTTCTTCGTGTTGACCTGATGAATTAAACTTTAGTGGAAAGTTCTGGTTGTATCTACGTATTCTGAACTTTAGTATTGTTCCAGACCTTGAGTTTCACATGCACATTTGTTTTACAGATCTGGATTATTTGTATGCAGATTGCTAGCCCCTCACATCTCAGGCAGATGCACTTGCACTCTGACTCTGAAGGGAAAAACTCTTAATTAGCCGCCTTTTATGATATGCTTGTTGGGAGAAGAGGGTCTATTCTTCCTCACACCTCCCCCCCAGAATGCGACCCTGGATCCCAACAGGAAATGACATACCCCAATGTCCCACTGTAGTGATATACCTAAAGAATATGGATTCCGACTTGTGAGTAATAAGTTCTCTTTGTGAGTTAATTTCTTTCAAAATATTGTCACTACACTTACTTTCTATAAAATCTCCAAAGCTTTCACACATTTTTTCGCTTATTTATCTAATTTTAGTAAGTCCCAAATATGATGAGTATGCAATTCTTCTAGCTTTAGCGTCTTGTCTAGTTTATTTTTATTACTTAGTTATTTTTATTCATTTCTATCGTCAGAATATGAAGCATAAGGCTTTCTTGTTTGAATGTTGTGCTGTCATTAGCACTTACAAATATGAACCAGTTCTGATCTGTGAAAACTTATTAAACAGATCTGTAACAAATTGCTGCTTATTGTCCTGTACAGATAGATGGTTTTAGTCATTGTAACAAATTGGTGCTTATTGTCCCATATAGATAGTTTTAGTCATTGTAACAAATTGGTGCTTATTGTCCCATACAGATAGTTTTAGTCATTGTAACAAAATGGTGCTTATTGTCCCGTACAGATGGTTTAAGTCATTGTAACAAAATGGTGCTTATTGTCTGATGCAGATAGTTTTAGTCATAAGCCACTGATGTAATGTTAGTTTATCTTTTAGCAAACTGTTTAAACAACAAAAACTTATATTCGTCTATGGGGGATACATGACTTTATAAAAAAAATATTTTTAATTACTGTAAAAATGATAACTTATGTGGTAGTGTTATGATGGAACCATTATCTGATGTAATAAATATATTACCACATATGGAAACTAGCTGTGGCACAGAAATAAGATTTAAATCATTATTACAGTGACTATAGCAAGCTCACAATGGATATAACATTAACTGCACTTGTAATATTTATGAAACAAACATGATTTTTTCCCCTTTACATCCAGCAAAACTATTTTCATATGCCCATCAACCTTTTACATAAATTTCCCAATTATGTGATCTATATCACAATGCCTCTGCTTCTCTTGATTGCATGATTAAATGGCAGCTGACACTAAACCATAAAATGTATAGCTTGCTGCAATCACTAAAACCATTCAAACTGGGTTTTTTATTATGTATAAAAACATCACGGTCATTTAAAACAGTTTGGACCATCGTGTGTTCTTAGACAACAGATGTGAAACCAAACAATATCTACCGCAAATGAATGTACATATAACAAAATCTGGACTTTATGTATATACTTACAAAGGAGAGAAAAGCAGCCTCCAATGCACCTCTAATTAAACTATCAATTGTTATCACTGACGATGCTATATTTCGTGAACTATCCACAGTCTCCTGACGTAATAGCTTAAATATATCTTCTTGAATTTCCACCAATTTTTCCTGCAAAAAAAGTCCAAATAGTGAAACCAAAATATAGCACACAGGTGGTTGCTAAGTAATACAGTCAAATGCACAATTTGTGAACTCTCTGACAACATGAACAAAATGAAATTTTAAAATTCTATGATCTGATCATAATCGGTTTGTATCAACATTGAACAATGGCATCATGAGGGCTAACAGACTGAAATGGCTGTGGTATGAATTATTAGTTATGAGCTGGGTTATCTTCATTGCTCTCCGGACATGTCCATAGGTGCTCAGATACCCCCTTCAACAAATACATCATCATCCCGCGGTTGATTGTCCCAGTCCTATATTGGTTGACAAGACTTCTCTTGCGTCTGGTATGCTTCTCGTGGCTGGCTGTGCCGATCTTAACTCCCAATTCTTGCACTCTTAGCAAAGATGTGGATGTGCTGCTCCCAAAAGTCCTACCTCTCTAATGGCGTTAACAATGTCGGCATGATCCATGGGCCGGCCCTCTGTAACTGAACCAGAGCCGACTAATCTGTCGGCTCTTTTATTGCCAACAACACCCGCAAAAAGCTGGGAGCAAAGGTCATTTCTGGGGGGAAACTTGAACCTGCAACCTTTATTTCACAGGAGAGCATCTAGCTGCTATACCATGTCAGCTCTCTTGGTTAATAAATGAACTGGTTTACTTCACTTATTTTTAGTGTGGATCCATAACTTGAAATGAGATAAACATTTTACCTAACAGTATAGAGAAACACAAATTGAGAAATATTTACATACTGAATGTTACAGTAAACAAATAATAGGCAGTCATGGCTTAGTGTTGCTAGTCCAACTCGTAATTCCAACGTACAGCGATCGAAACCCACTGCTGACTGCGTGGATTTTTAGTGCTTTCCCAATATCTCCCACAGGATGACGTCACAGGACACACTATTTTTTAGGGTGGTAAGAGCAGGTTCCCCGGCTTTCTGATGCTTTTAACTACCCCAAAACATCTAGAACTGGGCCTAACCCCAACCAACCTATGTCCCATGAGAGAGTGCAGCCTAGGTTCCACAACTGCATGCAGCCTATCTACCACCCCCCTTAAATATTCGACTGTGTGGGGAAAGATATTGGGATAGAACCTGATTTTTATCATGGTATGGGAATTTGCAGGTTGACCCAGCCTAAAATGGGTACTAGGATGTATGCTGACCACATTAACAACCTAGTGCTGACTGGTCTGTAAAAATACGGGTGCTATTCCTATATGTCCAATACGCCTAAAGGCATGAAAGGGGATCTTTACTTTAAAGTAAATAAATCTCATCCCTCGGTTACTCTTCCTCATGCAAGCATGGATACGCATATCTGATTAGCAATAAGAACAATCAATATAACAGCAAATAAATGGAAATAATGGGTAACTACAGTCAAGCTGATGACAAACAGTGGTAAACACAACAACATAAAATGCTGATAAAGACAATGATGAAATGGTCGGTTGTATTTGTGCGCGTCTTTTCCATTCCCTTATTTCTGCTCAAATTTTACTTTGTATTTAGCAAACGAATAGGCACAAGGAAATGTACAGATTATTTCTTCTTTTTCTTTGCATTCACTGGCGGTAAACCCCTGTGGAAAGTTATGGTTGTTTGTCCCCCTCTGGACGTTAATCTTGTTTCAGAACCTGAGTGTTGCATGCACATGTGTTCAACAGACCTGAATTAAGTGTATGCAGATTGTTGGTTCCTTTACTCTCAGACAGATGCACTCCAACTTTGAAGGAAGCCCCCAATTAGTCAACTCTTATGACATGCTCGTTGGGGAGACAGTGGGTTTATTCTCGTTTTCCCCCACAATGAGAGCCCCGGAACCCACACAGAGATGTAAAACAGATTATTTGTACACTTTGGTAAATGTACCTGCAAATGGTTAATCAGCTGATCAGCAGCCATCAGGGAAGCTCCAGTCCCAGCATGCCCGTCAAATATAGCAAAATATTTGACTTGTAATTTTTCAAACTGAGAACAAGAAAACAAAACAAATCATTGTACACCTCAGAGTAGATTTTTAATGCAGGAATGTAGTCAAATTAGCTTATAATGCTTGCCTGACAGGAGAATCACTTGTCATATTTACTCAATTTCAAGTTCAATTTCCAATAAATATCCCAATTTGTTGATGAAATTTATTTAATAATATTTGAATGCAAAACATGTGAAAATATCAATGGCTAAACAGGGGGGAAAACAGCTAGCGCCAGAGTGGCTAATACAGCTTTCCAGACCCAAGCACCCACTAGGAGAAGTTAACATCTCTGGGTGTCCTTTACTGTTAGCAAATCCATCACAGAGTAGGGAGGGTACTCTCGTGCCCTAAACTTTAATTGACCCAGAAATATTTGAATTGGTGGGGGGGGGGGGGGTGTGAACGCCTTGGCCCATTAATATATGTATTTTTTGTGCTTTGGCCCATTAATATATGTATATATATTTTTATATATTTGCATATATTTTAAACTTTTTTCTTTTTTAAGAAATGTAAATGTATAAAGGAAAATAAATTAATAACACCAAGTCAGTAGAAAATTAATACCTTCCCTCTTGCCTAACATATGTATATGGTGACCCATACTGTGGCCCTGTCGCTTTGCGACAACTAAAAGTTGATCACTTTATAATGGGGGTAAAACAATTTTTTTTTCACACAAAAACCCAACAAATGGTATTTTTAGTGAATATATTCATATACGGCTTTCATAAACACTGTGCAGGTGCACACAGAGCCATTAACTAGTATAATCTGGGACTGTAAATATAGCAATGGCATTATTATGTCTTTGTGTGAATGTGTCATGGGTGGCGATGCTAGATTAGTTGCATCTTTGGACATAAGCATTAAAAGGTTGCAAGAGGCTGATGACAGAAAGAAAACAAACATGTGGATGTAGAAGGTTAGGAGAAACTATCACATCATGCACACTCCAGGAAACTCATTATGGAAAATGTTAAAGAAACTTAAAGATCCTAAGCTGAAGCATCCAGGCATGAAATGGGGAAGAAAACACAATATATGAACAAGTAAAGGTAGTAGAGAAGATGGTTATAAAACCAATGGTGTTACTGTGGAAAGCTCTGTCATCAGGCTAAACAAAGGTTGAGTGCTTCAGGACCATAACAGTTTCAAACAATTCAGCCAGCACCAATAAGGATCAAAGCAGTGCCAATAAGTTGGTTGGTCATGCGTGCATGTGGATATATTTGTATATAACAGAAATGCAGCAATTCACTGGATGAAGAATGTTCTATGCAATAAAACTGTCAATTGAGCCATCTTAAGACATTTTTAGAGCCAACTGCAGCTCAGTGGCAAATTATATGGAAGATGCAGAGATGAAATTTGACAGAATAGTGACCCGGAGAACACTACAGGCAGATTAAAAGTGTGATGAGGACGTCTAGAAAGAATTAGTCTTCCACACAAAAAGAAGCTAAGAACTGACAATCTTGAGAAAAAGGAAGCAATGAAGATCACTGTTGAATGACATAAAGAGAGTATAGATATAGAAAAGAAGAAAGCTAAACAGATAAAACTGGAGTATGTTGTGACAGCAGAAATGCTGCAATGGGAAAAGAGGCAGGAGCTGACCAGGAGAGAGGATGCTGGATAGTTAAGACGCCATAGCTCGGAAGAACATTTTATATGTGGAATTAACAGGCTGTACATGAGGTTAAACGATGATAATGATGATAGCTCTGAAAAATGCAGGATGGGGCTGGCTGTGTAATAACATCTTCTTTGTGTATTTGTTTCTTTACTGACACACTTATACTTTCTGACAGCATCTGGCCATATGGTTTAAAGTGTTAATGACAGCCATTATCTGGCAACGGTTTTTATTGTAATCATTATCTAGTTGCTGCAAAGTATTTTGTAAATCAAATTTAAAACAACTGATAGTAGCAAATGATTAGCTGTCTTGGAGGATGTTTCTGGTTTTCTTCTTGTTCAACTTCCTGATCAGTAACCAACTGTTAGGTTATATTTGTGAGACCAACTGAATGAACTCTTAGAACTACAGCATCTTGATGTCTCACTACCTCAGACCTCATCTGCTCTGCATGCAGAATTTTGTGGTTCACAGCTTCTCTGCACCTACTGGCCCATACATCTGATTTCATGAACTACTGATAAGTCACCTTTAAAAAAAGTTGGTGCACTTTTTCCTATCAAACTGGGACCCCAGAATCAATATGAAGAAAATCTAGTCTGAAAGTTCATAACCTTTAAAGTTGGTTAACCCTGCTGGAAATAGGTTCCCCTTTTTTTTCAAAACTCTTATCACTAACAAACTGTTACAACTGTGAGAACACTTAATGGAACAGTTGGATCTCAGCCTGATCTTCCACATCCTCAAATCCCAATATATTTGTTTGAAGAGTGCAGCTGGTAGAGATTTTAGAAACCTAGTCTGAAAGTTCCTAACAGTTCAAATTATGAACTCCAGCCGATTTAAATTCTTTACATCCCTGCTCCCCACCACACATGTGCATCAATGCAGTTTGGGAGTGACACTGTTTTGACATACCACTGCATGTAATCTAATGGTCACTCCATAGTCTATTTTTTTTAACATTAAATAACATCACTAACTGACATAACAGGAATGACAATGATTTAAAGTTAAACAATGATTTAAAGTTAAACAATGATTTAACTATGTGTCTATCTTGTGTTATCTGAAGCTAAATTGTACATAGGCAAACCAGACCATCATCATAGCCCACCGAGCATACCCACAGATTTCCTCAGCAAATGTCTTAAGATGTAGATGACAACTGTTCCCGTAGCACACTGTTTATACACATGTCATTCTCTTCCTCTCATCTGTTCCTCCTTGCCAGATCCACACTTAACTACTCATTCACACATTCTTGCACACGTTATTTTATCTAATCTCATGTCTTCTGTCAGCAGACATTCATATATGGTCTTCATAATATTTCCCTTGTCCAGAACGAATGTTCCCGCAGCTTTAGCTTTTGAAGTCAGAAAATCCGCTCTTTCATTCCCTAGCACTCCTGCATGTCTCGGACAGTATGTCCACGTGATTCCCTGCCATGTTGGTGTACTGATGCATGGCATCCACTAAGGTCACATTAGTCCATTTTGAACCTTCTGCAGTGCCGACTGTGAATCAGACAAATAATTCCTTTAAGCTACAGTGAATGTCCTCATGCTTGACACTGTAAATAAAACAAAGTACCATTTTGTTGTGCCACAATTTTTCTCTTCATTCTAGCTGAAAATCCCCAGCCAGATCTTACACCCTGTTGTAGGTGTTCGTGTTGACCCATTCCTGCCCCATGTGTACCTGTTTGACCAAGGCCGTCGTCTCGATGGTATCTTCAGCTAGTGCCATCCATGACTTTCCTTATTTCAATAGGTCTCATCATAAATAGTTCAGATTACCATGCAGCAGATGCCTTACATCCCTGGTAACTCGCATATAGGTCTTGGCTTGCGCCAGTGACTAGCTAGACTTGACCAATGTCGGCCCAAGCATATAACTCTTTGTTATAATTAGGGTATCTCATGTGCAACCCAAGACGATTCTCATTCATTTATTTTGAATCTGTTCAAGCTTTGTACAATGCGAAGTAGATAGGATTAATATTCCTACACCATAATAAATTACAGAAAGGACCAAATGGTTGAACAACAAGACCAATAATCTCTGTTCCATGTGTGTCGTCACCACTGTCTTCAGTGCCGCCAGGTCATGCTAGCCTTTGATTACAGGCTGCTCCACATAATATCTGTAGGACAGACTGCGATGAAACATCAAACCTAAGTATTTCAACTTATCTCTTCTTTCAAAATTAATACCCTTCATGGATATGCTGGGCATCTTCCTTTCCAATGCTGTTATTCAAAGAGCATCATAAAACACAGGCCTTCTCTGGGTTTACCCAAGACCCTGTCTGTTCACACTACTCAATCATCTCATGCAAAGCACTTTGCAAGTCTCTGGTCATGTCGTGCCTGTCTGACCTCAGATCATTATTTTAAACTGAAGCTGTCTTATAAAATAAACACTGAAAACTTTTGACCAAATTGTGTGGTCAAAATCTGAACTATAATAAACATACACATACTCACTTATTTATACATGTGTGTGTGTTTGTGTAGGTAGAAATTTAAAAAAAAAACATACCGATCTTTTACCATCTGTAAGACCATTTGAGTGATCTGACAGAACAAAACTACCCACCGCTGCTTCATCTTCATTTCTAGGAGATTTCCCTCCATTAATACACCTAAAACATTTAAAAGCAAATTGCATTTTTGAAAAACCTGTCATCTACATTTTCTAAAAGATTCTGGAATAGTCTAATAGACTTTACCTACTTTGACCTAATATATGTTATGCAGTTATTACAGTCAGTAATGATTAAAAAGCAAAACTATTGCATACGAGTTTAGTTAAATTTTTTATGAGATATAACATTTTAAAACTAAACAGCTAGATAGAGGCTGAAAAACACAATCCAACCGTATCTCAGTGAGGCCTGTACATTGGTTCTAAGCTGAGAAATTTACTTTTTAGTCACTAAAAATACTCCCACAAACTATCATGGCAAATGACAGAAACAAGATGGTGACATGTTTTCAAGTGAAAATAAGACCTGAAATGACAAAATCTGTATGCTTAATATGTATGTGTGTTTTTTTTTTAAATAGGAACTTGGCAAGCCATAGTGTATAGACAATATACAACAGGATTTTATTTTATCAGCTCTAGCCAGTTGATTCTTTTTATAATTTTGAACATGTAGAGTAATCTCATTCATTACCATCATGTGTGATGCTCACATTCATGGTTCAATTGCAGTTTGGGTGGATATGGAAAAGGCCTTCGACAAAGTGTGAAAAAATGGGCTGAAACAAAAGCTACTTGAAAGTGGAATATCCCATCACATGCTTGGGTGGATCGTAAAATATCTTGAAAATCGATCTGCAAGAGTCAAGATACAGGGTTCAAGGAGCAGATCAGTCCCAATGACACATGGAGTTCCACAAGGCGGAGTTCTGTCCCCAATTCTTTTCCTAGTTTACATTAACGACATAAAATCAACCCTCTGTAATGGAGTTCAAGCCGTTATGTATGCCGATGATCTGGCGCTACTGAGTTCAGAGGAGGACACTGAAAAAGCACAGACAAGGCTTCAAGAATCCCTCGGAACTCTAGAGAGGTGGTCCAATAGCTGGTACATGCCTGTAAATGGGGCCAAAACCACACACACCATTTTCAGTCTTTCTACCAAACCCCAGAAAGTTTCACTTAGATATGGCAGCCAGGCACTGATACATGATGACTCACCGTCATATTTAGGAGTAACCTTTGACTCAATACTCACATGGAGAAAACAGATAGAAAAGACAGAGCAAGGGACTCAAGAGAACACAATTGATAAGGAAGTTAGCTGGAACAGACTGGGGGGCAAACCTCAATGTCCTTAAGAGGACCTATACAGGCTATGTGAGGCCAACAATAGAATATGGAATAGCTGCTTGGGGCACAGCAGCTAAATCAAATTTTCAGAAAGTCTCAAAGATCCAAAACCATGCTCTCCGTATTATGACAGGGGCAATGCGCTCCACGCCCATATCAGATATGGAAACAATTACTGGTCTCCATAATCTGGAAGATAGGAGAGACACAAAGATCCTCACCCAGCTCTCCAAATACCACCACTTTCAAGAACAACCCATGTACAGCCGACTACAGAAACCCCAGAAGGCTAGACTAAAGAGAACTTGCTTTATTAAGAACGCAAATGCTAAGCTCGCTGTCCTTAAACTCCCTCCCATAATACCAAATGTTCCACTTAAACCTTACAACGACTGCCCCGCTTGGCTTAGGGATAGCCTACCAACAGTCAGAACCACTGTAACAGGGGTCTCCTCCAAATCATCAATGAGCAGCACTGATATGAAATCAACTACAGAAGGAGAGATCAATAGACTTTACCCACACCAGAGTTGGATTCGAGTGTATACAGATGGTTCAGCCAAGAGAGCAGTAAGAGACGGAGGAGGAGGAATATACATAGAATGCCCAAATGGTTTAAAAATCAACCAGGCTGTACCAACAGGTTCATATTTATCCAATTACAGAGCAGAGGCATAAGCACTTCTAGCGGCATGTTCTTTCCTGAATGGACAACAGCACAGCAAATATAGCAGAGTGGTCTTTCTGACTGATGCTATGTCAGTTCTACAAGCAATTGTTAACCCAAAAGACACTCAGTTTGTAGACTTGACGCAACAGCTGATTTACTTAGGCTCTTCAGTAGAACAATCTGTACTGCAGTGGATTCCAGGTCACTGTGGCTTGGAAGGCAATGAAATAGCGGACAGATTGGCCAGAAGCGGCAGTGACATGGTACAACCAAATAGCGACTTAACCCACCAAGAGATGAAAACACTAATACAATCTAGTATCCAAGAAAGGTGGCTGGATACCCACACCAGAATTTCTCCCCAAGACTCACTTCATCGCCTCTCTAGAGAGGGACAGTCTATTATATTCAGACTAAGGACAGGGCACAACAGATTTCGTCAACATATGTTCAAATTTTTCGGTGTAGGAAATACGGAGACATGTCTCTGCAGCGTGGCACCCGAAAATGCTGAGCATGTGTTCCAACATTGTCAACTGTATGCTGACAACAGAGACGCAATCTGGCCTGTTCCAACCACAATGAAGACAAAACTGTATGGTACACAAGAGGATATGGATTGCACGATAGCTTTCATAAAGGCTACCGGCCTCCTGATATAAGTTTTCTGACAGAAGGATCGAAGAAGAAGAAGAAGATGGTTCAAAATCTCACAGTACGTCTCTGATCTTGCCCAACCCATGCCATGTGGCCAAGCCATCTCGGTTATTGTCTTCCCACTGCTCTGTTTCCAATGAGTTTGCCAGTTAGGTTTCTACGCATAACATGCTCAAATATTACTTAAACACCTAGTGAAGTTCTCTTATAATAGCCTTTCCCAGATGACGTCACAGGACAGTCCAACATTTTAGAGGGTGGTAAGACTGGGTTTCCCGGCTTTCTGATGCTTTTAACAACCCCAAAACATCTAGAACTGGCACCTACCCAAACCCACCTACTTCCCATGAGAGTGCAGCCTAGCTCCCTGGACTGCATGCAGCCTATCTACCACCCCCTGAAATATTAGACTGTCCTGTGACCTGTGGATTTCCCCTGTTTCAGGTAGGATATTAGGAAAGCACCCTGAGTGCTTATAAGAAACACTGAATTTTTAATAATAATCATTATCAGGTGCCTTGCCCACTTGTGTGGGCGATCGTGCCTCTCCACAAACCTTAAAAAGAAATGCCCTTAATCAGATGACTTTTGCAAGTGCTTCTTGTATGGAGGGACATTTTTTTTTTTTGCTTATCCCCCACTGTAAGGCCCCGTAGCCCAAATAGGGACCTTGTTAATGAGTAGGTGGATTATACAGCTGTTTAAAACAGGATACGGTAGTCAGCCCCATGCTAACCCTTCTTGGTTGCCTCTTCTTACAACATGGGTTAATAAAGTGTTACTGTTGTGAATATTCAATATAATAATAATTTATCATCAGTACTGATTGTCTTATCATATTATGCAACACTGATGATAATAATTAACAAAAAACTAACTAGTACATACTACCTTTAACTTATTTTAAGAGTTAATTAAAAATGATTTCTTACTCTGCATAACCGGCTCCTAAAGGTATCTGGTTCACATCCTTGGGTACAATAATAGGGCGAGTGCTGTGATTCAGCGAAGCGGCTTCCTCTTCTTTTGTCAACTGAAGAAAGTGAGGACGGCAGTATGTGTTTCTATCGCCAGGTGTGCCACAACTTGTGGTATTTTCTGGTTCTCTCTGGCGGTTGGTGTGATGATCAAAACTAATTTTCCTTCGACTTCCACTTCTTTGTTTGTTTGAGTTTGACGGTGACGGCAACGAGGAGTTTGAATTACCAAGTTTGCTTTTAAATGAACCAACAAACTTGGAAAACATTATCATGACCAAAACTGTTCAATTAAATGTATTGTTCTTTTTTTTTAAAGTAAGTCAAGTCGAAGCCAGTAATTTAATTTCAATTATTACTACTAACTAGTTTCCGAACTGTTTTCTACAGTAGTACTAGCATATTCATATTTGTTTTTACCAAAGTAGTTAAGTAGTACTTAGTTAGTACTAGAGAAAATGTAAACAAACACTTATCACAGCACAACTTATCTCAGCCTTCGAAGCGACTGACTGTTGTCAACTCAAATAGTCTGAATTAATGAACTTTAACCAAACTTCTGTATAAATGGAAAAACATGTCCGGCACTGTCATCTGAACACATTTAAAACGAGGAAGTAGAATGACACATGTGTAGTAGTAGTTGTGTTATCACGCGGCTGTCGTCGTACTTGTCGCAGGCTGCATCATCTTCCGTCGCTTGCTGTCGGTTTCCTTGTTTCTGTTTGTGTCGGTCGATGCCTGTCAACAATGTGGTACTCAGTTGTCCCCCTTCCGGAAGCTGCGACACTCATTCGTGGCGTAAAATAGTTGTTGTATAAGGCCGCCTGACTTCGTTTTAGGACGGACGGATAAATAAGCTGTCGTAAGAAAATACTCGTGTGCGGGAATTGACTTTTAATAGTTTTGTATTGTCTGATGCGCTGGGAAACAGATAGGCAACGGAAAACAACATGTGTAAACCACTAGCAGTGGCGCCGACACACAAAACATTGAACCCCGCTTCCCCTTTTTAACACCAGTTCTAGACTCTAGAGTGATCCACGACCGGCTCTAGTTGACATTCCGGTATTGGTTGATCAATGGGCTTGAGCATTATTTAAGTGCGTGATATATATATATATATATATATATATATATATATATATATATATACACACACACACACACACATACACACACACATAATGGGCTGAACGCCTTTATGCTTATTGGGCAGATATGGCTAGACCTATATTTATAGACCAATCGGCACTTGGTTGATTATGTGAGCATCACGTCGGTCGCATTTACTTCCCATGACTGCACCTGTTACCCACTCAAGGCTTGAGTCATGGCATTAAACATTTTAAAAAGTCCGGCCCCCGTCAGTACAGGAACCCATGACCCTCCGATCCGCAGGCGGGCGTCTAGCCGCCACACAAAGGCGACTCTCAAGTAAGTATTAAAATAGGTCTTTGTCGAGCTCTATGTAGTAAGCGGTCAGCACCCTTTATATCTGCTATGGTCAACAATGCAATAATCAAGGTGTCTCTTGTACACCCCAGGATCACCAGCATAGCTTCATTCTGAGTGCTCCAGTAATCCCATCCTAATGGATAATTAGTGCTGGTAAAGTGCGAACAGCATTCTCTGCTCCATGACCATCGCTGCCATAATCTTTAGTGCATTAGAACCTTTTTGAGCCTTTGTCCCAACCCTTACTATGTGATCATTGAAAGACAAACTTCTGTCAAAGGTGATTACCAGGTACCGCAGCCTGTTGTCTCTTTTAATGTCCCTGCCATTTATTTTGAGTCTGGGAACATCAGCTCTAACAATCCTGTTGTCCAAAGAACAACACAGGTCGGTTGCCTTTTCTGGGTTGATTACAGCACTCATCTCTGTATACCATTCGATCACCTTATCTACTGTCACCTGTAACTCTTCAGCTATTTGATTCCGAGCTCTACCCTTCTATATACGAGTACACCATCTGCAAATGTCAATATTCTACAAACTCCTTATGTTTCCAGGTATGCAATCTTGCTCGTAAAAACACTGAACAGTTAAGGTGAAATTGCAGCTCCCTTTGGTAGTCCTATGCTACAACACACAGTAAAGAGGTCCATGAAACCAGGCGGAGAACTACCCGGCGCATATACAAAACGGCTGCTATCCAGTTCATTAACCAAGGATGGACTCCCTTCTCCATAAGCGCTTTAATCAAGATACTGTTTCTGACTCTGTTGTAAGCGTCTTCTAAATCAAGTGTCGCTGCCCTTGTTTCCTGTCTGTTGTTCTGGAAACCTTCGAAGGCGTGAAAGGCAAAAGTGGCTGCATTTGACCATGTGTCCTTCCTTGGCCTGCAACTTTACAATCCTCCTGTTTAAAAAAAGAAAAAAAAAACACACACACATAAAATAATTTACTCTAACACTTTACCAAAGGTGTTTTGTAGGGTTATAATCCTAAAGCACAAAAGTAGATCTGCCGGTAATCTTACATGCTCTATATCAGAGGAGTAAAGTCACGTATCGGAAAACCCAAGTGCAAAAGATCTACAATAATTTTTCAAAAGCACATGGAAAGAAGGGGTCGGAGCACATGTGGGAATGTATCGAGTGCGATAATGTCAATTCATTGATTTATCCATTCATTCATTCATTTATTCATTCATTCACTCCCTTAGCTAGAGCATAGAACAGTCCGACATGCTATAACTGTATATGGATCTCGAAAAACAGACTTGTATCTTGCGCACAGAGTGGCTCGCATCGCTTAATTAATCAGACATTTCATTAGCGTGGCGTTGATTTTCTGCCCTGGAAATTCTAGTGTGCGGTGTAGTGAGTAGGCACAGTGCAAGTGTTAAGTGCACATCCGTTTCACAGATCTGGCTTACCTGTATACAGACCTGTGGTTCCTTGCCTCTCAGGCAGATGCATTCCGACTTCGAAGGATGTCCCCAATTAGTCGACTCCTACGACATGCTTGTTGGGGAGGCAGTGGGTCTATTCTTGTTTTCCCCACAATGGGGCACGGGGACGAGATGTTTTGAAAGAGGCAGGTGCTCGAAGACAATTTTTCACAAACATTAGAAAGAGAAAGTTATCATTTTTTGGTCATGTTATGATAAGAGGGAAAATGGAGCATGTTGTAACCACACACGAAGTGACAAACGAAGTTGCAGATCGCAGATTGTGTGAGAGGCATGATCGCCCAAGCCAGTCGGCAAGGTACTTGATGATGATGAGGTGGCCATACTGTCAGAGGCATGCATAGGTTTGAGGCTATGCACGAGCAGATATGTTGAGCTAGAAAAGGGGGTAGTCGTAGGAATACATAAAAGTGAATAATGTATTCAGAATACTACATTCAAACGAATGCTGAATACAGCGTGAGATGAAGCAGCATGGGCAAAGCTGCATGGATCCGTCAAGAAATTTCGAATACAAATGGCAGCCCGACTTGTTCACAGCCTGTGTGCGCAACCAGCATCTACACTTTTGACATTTACTGCGGAAGACGGTGCATCTATGGTATTTCAGATATGCTGTAATGACGATTCTTAAACCAGTAAATCATTAATCATGTTTGTCTACCTGCTTGGATATTCCGAAATGCACGATCCACTATTCTGCTTCCGTTAGGATTTCTTAAGGTCACCCCCAAGGTAGGTGTCATACTTATCAAGTATCCAGTTTCGTCCTTTTCAGGACGAATTTTTTTGTTATTTGAAGCCCCACCCTGGCTTTTGCCAGGGGCCGCAATATAGGCAGGCCATAAATATGGCCAATTGCCTGAACGCGGTTCTGGGACCTCTCCACGGCGATCCTCATCCATATGGTGGCACTTTGTGTCATCGGGTGTTTATCGCTTGTGTGATGTCCTGGTGGGGTAGAAAGTCAGTCAGTCAGTGTCATACTACTGGGTGCGTTCATTGAATGGCAGATGGTACCCACTCTAAATATATAGGTTAGGGAAGAATATGCCGTGTGCTGTAACTGAGAGGAGACGAGTTAGTTGGCCGGGTATCTATCTATAAAATAGATACCAACGTCCTAGATATGTGGAGAAAAACAACTATAACATCTGACGAGGATGATATCCCTGGCAACATTCACATATAGAGAGAGATAGTGAGTGAAAGAGGAGAGTGAGAGAGAGAGAGAGAGAGAGAGAGAGAGAGAGAGAGAGAGAGAGAGAGAGAGATGCAAAATGCAGCGATTCCGACATGTAATAAGATCTTTCGAACTTCTGAAACCTGCTCTACATGGCTCGGGAGAAGAAAGATAAAATAAAACAGGCCAGTAAAGACATGAATCCAAAGTCTGACCGACTAGACAGCCTTCAAACACGAAAACAGTGTCTATGATCCAAGAAATCGAAAGATCTGATTTAAACAGTCAATAGTAAATGAACCGGCTACCCATGCTGTTATAGGACGGCTTATAGATAAGACTAAATGACGCCTCTATGGGAAGTCGGTAGGCAGTGCAGTCGAGTCATCACCCGCATATTTGTGTTTACGTCATGACTCAGTGACCTGTGAACTCGGCTACATCAGGTGACCTCATTTCTTCACGCAGAAGTCGGCTGTAAGTCTGGCCACTAGTCCACAGAAGAAGTGTCAGAGTTCAGTTCTACTTCGTAATATATCCGACACCCAAATACTTTGGAATATATATTTCACTGAGGTAGATACACATAGAACGCCATTTGACTTCAGTCAAGGTAAATATAGTCTTCTTATTATATATTAATATTTAAAACAGCGTCAACGCCTGTTGTAACTTTATAAATAAATAAATTTCATTTGAAGTGGTTTCTGACTCACTCTTTCAGTTCAGTTCAGTGCTCACTGATTTAAACTAAACTACTCAGTGATTCCTTCAATCATTTCTGTTACGATGTTTCAAGTGTGACTAATATTTCAGGTTGATAGGTACAGTTTGAATAATAGTTAATACTCTCAGTACAGATAATCAACTTGATTATAGTTACAATTTTGCCGGTCCCTCCAAGTCTAAGCGTCGCAGAAATTAGAGAAAAATATGCCAAGCTGCAAAGATTTATTATTGATCTTTGGTTCCTGAAAGAGACAACATGTATTACTATGTATTCTAGAATAAAGTAGATCCAGCCCCCCCCCCCCCTTCGATAGTACGCAGTATCGGCACCCATTACAAGTATCCCTTTTCAACACTATTGTAATAGACACTTTGTGGTGCAGACCGCCACCTTTTATTTGTATTGTACGCTTTGTGATAAGTACACACCTTTTCTAGAAAACAAATACCAGAGTAGATTCATCATTCTATGCCCAGGATCACCCGATTCCGTTTTATTTTCTTATTATACTGTGCAAAGCATTTTGACAAGTATTTTACACATTGCATTATAATATTAGACCAGAGTTATTATTTAAAAAGTTGGCTCTACTGGCAAATCCGGACGAAGAATAAACAGACTTGGACGACTTAGTCAGAGTTATCTCCCGTCGCCGCACTCCGAACAGTAATCGGAAAACAAACGACAAACTTACCTATCATCCTGCGGTTGCGTGTAGGGCTGCGTACGGTTGCGTGAGACATCGTGGCATCATCATATGGTTGCGTGCACAGTTGCGTACGGTTGCGTGAGGCATTGTGAATGGTTGTGTAGTCATCATCATGCGGTTGTTGGATTAGAGTTAGGGGTAGGGTTAGGGTTAGGGGTAGGGTTAGGGGTAGGGTTAGGGGTAGGGTTAGGGTTAGGGGTAGGGTTAGGGTTAGGGTTAGATGTGAAAATTTTGACGTAGGATTTCGAAATACTGGCCGACAATATAATGTTTGTGGGAGTGGCGCCACTGAAACTCTGCCAAATATGACGCCAATAGCGTGCGGCTGGTGCCCCCAATCGTTGGCGAATTGTGCGTGTGACCAGCATCCAGAGGCCCTCGATTGTTTGTTTGTGTGTATGGGACTGTGCGCGATTATAGGGAACTCCGGCGTCAAAATTGTCAAATCTAACGCTAATCCTAACCCTACTGCTAACCCTAATTCTAACCCTAACCCTAACCCTAACCCTAACCCCTACCCCCCTAATTACGCAAATTTATCAATCATTAAAGCATACAAATCGGCAAACACCAACAAACAAAACACACCCAAAAAAAAAAACACCCAGAATTGTCCTGCAGCGTCGAAAAAAAACCCAGATCTGGGGGAAACAACCAAGCATTGGCAGCCCTGATGTCGACGTGACTGTCTTCTTTGTTTCGTTGTGGATTTTCCGATCACTGTTTGGAGTGCGGCGACGGGAGAGAACTCTCACTAAGTCGTCCAAGGCTGTTTATTCTTCGTCCGGATTTGCCAGTAGAGCCAAAAGTTTACTTTTCCGATGCCAAATTAGTGAACATTGTTTCATTGAATGGAATTCAAAGTCTCCTGTATGTGCCGCAGCTTACTTAGACTGATAAAACATAGCCATAGTGGATGTGTTGTGTAACTGTTTTGTGGTGCCCCAATATAGATGGTCTATATAAGTGTATGGTTCTGCAGGGTTTCTGCTGTTTACAATGGTTAGATTCACATTCTTGAGCTGTTTACTCTTTAGAGTACCGGAGGTTTCTAGATTAACATTATTGAGGTGTTTACTCTTTAGAGTACCGGAGGTTTCTAGATTAACATTATTGAGGTGTTTACTCTTTAGAGTACCGGAGGTTTCTAGATTAACATTCTTGAGGTGTTTACTCTTTAGAAACCTATGAACATATGATGCATTCCTTGGGAATGAAAGAGTTATTCCTCAGGATGCAAATCTCGAGAAAAAACACTTTTTAAAAAAAAATACTCTATACTAAATATTCTTTTTTTTTGTTGTTCGTCCGAGTGACTTAAATTGTTATGCCTGTTTACAGCAGAGCTGCGATATTTGTGCCATTTGGCAGACACATCCAACTTCCTCTAGCATTTGTTGACCCGGTTAACTTCCCTGGTGTATGTACCAAATGGCAGAGAGTAGTTGTGTTTCTAGTCTGCCAGTTGTATCGCAACACCATAAAATTAGTCAGCATCAGGCAGAATAGGTTTGCCTTACTGTTATCAAAAAGTATCTTATACTACATAGTAGTGATCATCAATATGTTGTGTAGTGTAAGATATACTATCTGCATATTGTCTGTAATTTATCATATTGTATCTGATATACTGTCTGTATACAGATTCATCATCTTGTATCTACAGAAATAAATTATAATGAAAACCAGTTTCACATCATACCAAACACTAAAAAATTGGAAATCTGTATGTCACTTCTAAGACATAGAAAGAGACCTGTTCCTGTCAAAGAATATCTCCTAAGAAATGTTTCCTTCTGACTTTGTTACCGGTGTCAAACATGGACCCTTGCTAAAACAAATGATTGCAGAGTCCTAACAGAGATGCAATGTCTTAGAAGTGCTGCCAGAGTAACAAGCAGATATTTAATTTAAAACTTAGTAGATTACGACCAAAACCATCCAGACAGTTCACATATAGAACAACAGATAAATGATTTGACCATCTGACAAGAATACCATGGTACCAGCTACCACAGAGGAAATGTCATGTTAAAGAAACATAATTAGAACAGAGCATATTCGAGACAAAACAGAAGATCCAAAAACAGCATCAAGGACAATCTCTGAAAAATGAAGACCAGATTGCACAGTAAATATGTAATGAGCATAGAGTATAGTGACAACAACAGCAATTTCAAGAACAATCAAAATCATTATCATCATCTTCTTTGTTCACCGGCTGTAAGCTCTGACCAAAAGTCCTGGTTGTTCATCCATTTGGACTTTAGCTCTGTACCAGGACCTGAGTTTTGCGTGTACATCTGTTTTACTGGCTTATTTGTGTGCAGTTGGTTTTTCCTTACCACACAGGCAGATGCCGACTTGGAAGGAAGTTAGTTGAATCTGACATGCTTGTTGTGGAGGCAGCGGATATGTTCTTGTTTTCCCCTGTCTGCAGAAAGGCAAGGAACCAACAATCTGCATACAGATAAGTCAGATCTTTGAAACGGTTGTGCAAAACTCAGGTTCTGGAGCAAGACTAAAGTCCATAGGTGGAAGAACAAACAGAACTTTCCCCTAGAGTTTACAGCTGGTAAACGTGAAGAAGAAGAAGAAATTCTGGATTAATTCTGTTGATAATACTCATCATGCCACTGTCTGAGACCATTCAGTGTAACTTTTCTTTCTGCCTAAGCCTTGTTGACTACTACTCTTTTCAGTATCTGCGGTCTTTCTTTTCGTCTGTGCCTCAAAGAAAACTGTTTAGTTCTGTATAATGTTTTACTATCATTAGCTTGTCCACGCAACTGTTGCTTATATATTATGTTTATTGTGTAAGGCTAGGACTAAGGGGCCAAAATGTTGAAAATGGAAGCTGTCGCAGGATAGTGACCCAAGCACAAGCATAGAAATATCACTAACACAATATAGTTGGCAATGATCAGCGGGCGAGATTTGCCCCGCTGGCCACCAGTTGAATAGCCCTGGTTAAAGGATAACAGCCAGATCTGTATATTTAAGGAAATTAAACAACAAATGGATGTGTAGCAGTAAACAGCAGTTCTCAGTGTCATCTTCAGAAATACATTCTGATCACATGGTAATGATGTCCTTTATATTGACAGTAGATGGTACTGAGCTAATGTGATCAGTGTTCGTGCTCTACTCTGTTTATAGGTTGAATGATTGGAGGTGATAAAATGGAGACAATCTTAAATCAGATCATGTACTCGGACTTGTTCCTGATGAATCCAGCAACATTAACTATTGCCACACTGACGACTATGATGACTTTGTACTTGTACTTCATACAGCCCAGCAAGCTTATACAGGCATATTTCAGGTCAGTTGTCTGTTGTATACCCGTGTGGTTTCCAATGCCCCATTATTGCAAAAAGAGGACTAGACCTACTGCCTCCCTAACAAGCATGTCGCAGCAGTCGACTAATAGGAGACATCCTTCACAGTTAGAGTACATCCTTCAGAGTCACATTATGTCTGCCTGAGAGGCAAGGAACAAAGAGTCTGCATACAAATAAGCTAAATCAATGAAACCGATATGCACACATTACTCAGGTTCTGGAACAAGACTAAAGTCTGCCTGAGAGACTAGGAACCAGCAGTCTGCATAAAATGAGTCAGATCTGTAAAATGGATGCACACGCAACACTCAGGTTTTGGAACAGGACTGCAGTCCAAAAGTGGATAAACAACTAGAACTTTCCGCCAGAGTTTACAGCTGTTGAACGCAAAGAATAAGAAGAGGAATATAACATAAAGTGGTCTTCATTTTATATTTTGCAATTTTTGATGTTCTTATTCTTTTCTTTATCAGTGGCAACTCCTGGGTAGGTAGTGTGGAAATGCAGCTTCTTATTTAGGTACAGTCTGTTCAACCTGTTGTGCACGTGTCTGAGATAAGAAGCTGCAATTCCGCAGTGCCTACCCAAATTAGCCGCTTCTCTTTTGATATTCCAAAAAAAATGTGGATTACCTTCTTCTGATATGAGTAACCAGTTCTCTTTGTGAGTTTTATTTATTTCAAGTTGTTGATACATACATACATACATACATACATACATACATACATACATACATACATACATACATACATACATACATACATACATACATACATACATACATACATACATACATACATACATACATACATACATACATACATACATACATACATACAGACAGACAGACAGACAGACAGACAGACAGACAGACAGACAGACAGACAGACAGACAGACAGACAGACATACATACATACATACATACATACATACATACATACATACATACACACACATGCACGCATACACACAGACAGAATGAATTAGAGACTTGAAGAAGTGATTTCCCGCACACCCAGCCCTAAAATGGTGAGTTAAATACCTAATTGTATAAATAAAAGTCCTTTTTGTGTGCTGCGTGTGTGAAAGATTCCTCTACATTTTGAAATGTAAATCAAGCTGCAATACCTCCAGTAGACTATAATATTCTCACGTGGGATCTGGTTTCCTATTGTGTTGAAAGCAAAGCAGACCCACTGCCCTCCCCAACAAGCATGTCGTTGGAGCCAGCTGACTGGGAGCTTCCTTTGAAATAGGAGAGCATCTGCCGGAGATGCAAGGAACCAGCAGTCTGCATACAAATATATCAGTTCTGTAAAGCGTATGTGCATGCAACACTCAGGTTCTGAAACAAGTCCACAGCTGGACAAACAGCCGGAACTTTCTGTCGGAGTTAACAGCCCATGAATGAGCAGTATAAGAAGACTATAATTGTCTTACATGGACATGGAAGGATAGGGGAAACCACAAAAAAATTTCTTAAGAATATGTTTATGGGTTTTTTATGACATGTAAAGGGTGCCTAATATCAGTCATGGTACTGAATAATTTGAAGTCTGTCTCTGTGAGTTCACTGTGTGTATTCAAAGTCTCAAAGAAGGACCATGTAATACCAGAGAATGAGTAGACGGTTCATGCAAATGTATCCATGTTCTACAGAGTGGCAGTGCGCTGGAGTGGAATGAGAATGAAATGCACAAAACCATTGAAGGAGGGGTTCATATTTTCCTATGGGGAAAAGGGTAGTAAAGTCAAAGGTCAGATGAGCATTCTGTTACTACATGGCTTCTCTGCAGATCACTTTATGTGGGCATCAATTGTACAGGTAAGGTTTTTTTTTCTTTTCAATATGTTGGAACTATTGTTTGTTCCAAAATTGACATGTAGTTGGAGTCTGACAGCAATTATGTAATTGCTTAAAGCTGTATAAATCATCTTTTTAGCATTTTTTTAAAGCAATTACACATTTTGAGTCCTAATTTTTGTTTTTGTTGTATGAAAGATCATGTTTCTATAATTCTTCTTCTTCTTCTTCTTCGCATTCACCAGCTATAAACTATGCCAGAAAGTTCTGGTTGTTCTGTCGACTTCTGGAACTAAGTCTTTTCCCAGAATGCGCTCAGGAGTTTTCTGTAATTGTATATTAGCCGATGTTTCTCTATTTGCTTTGTACGTTAGCATATGTTTCTGTTGATACTTCATATGCTAGCGGATATGAGGCACATTTTTTAAATAAGTCCCGTTTTGTTTGACTGCACCGACAAACACAGATGGAAAACGCAAATGTGCACATGCAGTGTGTTTATGTGGTTCATTAGCTAAGGGTGTGCTATTTTTTCACTGAAATGTTGTTTGAAGCTGCATGTGGGTGATTTATAATTAGTGCAAAAATAAATACTCCCGCCAGTTGCAAGGTTCGTGCTGTGATCTATTTTTTTTTTGTTAGCAAAAAACAACAGTGCTTCAGAAATTCACTGGCAATTTATGGAGTTTTATGGGCCAGATGTTATGACTAATAGTATGGTGTCAAATGTTTAAAGAAGGGCGAACAAATATGATGAAGATCTGAGTTGTCCGCCTAGTGTGGTGACATATGATTTGGTTGAAGAAGTGAACCCAAAAAAATTCAGCAAAATCGTTGTTTCATATTTTCTGCGTTGTCTTTAGAATTTTGGGAAGTTTCGTGTTGAATGATCTACGGCATTGTGACAAGAAATACAAAAAATTGTGTGCCACATATGTACCAAAAATGTTAACCAACAAACACAAGCAGAAACATCTGGCTTCGGCTCAAAAATGATTGCAGCGCTATCAAAATGGAGGAGATGAATTACACTGGAAAATTGTTGACCGCCCACCCTACAGCCACGATCTGGTGCTAAATGATTACCACTTTTTCACGCACCTAAAGAAGTGGCTGGCATCCCAGCGGCTTGAAACTAATGATAAACTGCAGACAGGCGTTAATGAATGGTTTAAGACACTGGCGGCAGACTTTGATGACACTGGAATTAAGAACCTGATGCCACAATACCAACAATGTGTTAAAGTCACTGGTGGCTATGTTGAAAAATAATGTAAATGTGTGGTTCACTTTTGGCTGCAATAAGTTTTTTTTTTTTTTTTTAATATGATGTTTTTGTAAATACTAGAAATTGCTTAAAAAACGTGCTTCATATTTCTGTTATATTGTATGTTAGCCTTTGTTTCTGTTGTAACGTTATATGCTTGCGGATATTTCTTTTACATTGTATGTTAGCTGATGTTTCCTTTGTTACGTAATATGCTAGCTGATATTTCTTTTATATTGTATGTTAGCTTATGTTTCTTTTGTTACATTATATGTTAGCTGATATTTCTGTTACATTGCATGTTAGCTGATGTTTATATTGTTACCTTATATGTTAGCTGATGTTTCTGTTGTTACATTAAATGCTAGCTAATATATCTTTTACATTGTTTGTTAGCTGATATTTCAGTAGTGGTTTTTAAAAAAAATGCTAGCTGTCTTCCAACAGTTCATCAGAGTCTGGTATTCTGCCATGGTAGTAGTTGGCTATGGTGTAGCGGCTAAATGCTCGCTTGCAGATCCAAAAGTCTAAGGTTCAGGTCCTGATAGAGCTGCACTTTTTTCAAAAATGTCCTTAGCTCTTAGGTTGAACCAGCCTTAAATGGGTACCAGGTAAAGTTCTGGGAAGTAAAGGCAGCCACTGTGATGTTGACCACCTCACCCACAGAGTGCCTATAGGTCTAGCAATATATGCCCAATACGCCTAAACGGGCACACAAGGATCCTTTACTTTATGCCCAACATGCCTGAAGGTGTGGAAAAGGGTTCTTTACTTTTCCGTAGTAGTTGGCTGTAAGTAACTGGCATGTGTCTGTCACCAGAATGTTCCCTCAAGTATTCACGTGGTCGCTGTAGACTTACCTGGCCATGGTTTTACCTCTGACCCAGAAGAAGGAGATGACATTGGTTTTGAAGGGCAAGTTCATCGTGTCAGGCAGGTAAGGACCTTCAGATGGCTGCATGTTTGCAGAAATAGCCATTACTAGGCCATACGGGCAGCATGTGTCATATATACACAAGATATTGATTGGTTGATTGTAACAGACATAACTTACAATCTTACTTACTTAGTCGCTCCTCTTCTACCTTGGGGTGTAGAGGTTTGCCAGAGAGATCGCCAGCCTTCTCTGTCATCAGTTTTCTTTTTTGGATTGCTCCATTTCAGTCCTGTCAGCCAGGAACTGTTGGGTGTTGTCTTCCCAGCAGGCCCTGATGGTCTGGTTCCCTGGTTCTTAGCCTCCCATGTATGCCATGGTGGCAGATTTTCTCACATTCTGGACACATGTTCAGATCATCAGTGATTAGTGATCCACTTGAGTTTGTAAGGTCTGGGTTTCAAGGTCATGACGTATTGTCTGATTGCAAACTTTGTTCCTTTTTGTCACTTAGACCACCTTTCTCAGATATCTCATTTTTGAGGCCTGAAGCTTGCTTCTGTGAGCTGTTGTCGTTGACCATGATTCACACCTGTAGGTCAGGCCTAGCACATAGGTAGAGTGGTAAACAGCCATTTTTGTGCACATCTGTTTTACAGATCTGGTTTATTTGTATGCTTGTTGATTCCTCATCTCTCAGGCAGATGCACTGCAACTTCAAAGGAAAGATTTGTAATTAGTTGATTCTTGCAACATGCATGTTAGGGGATGGTGGAACTATTAAGTTATCCCCACAGCGGGACAGCAGAACCCAAACAGGGATGAATATGTGGTGTGTGAGTTTTTGCATGGTATTAACAGCCATATTTTTTGAGGTTGGTTTGGGGGGTGGGGGGGGGGGGCTGGGTTGTGCGTGCATGGACATGTAACAGGGTGGAGTAGACTCGAGAATTTGGTAACAGCTGGCAAGATTGTTGGAAAGAGAGCAGGATGGGGCATGACAGAAAAATTGATCTAGTCCGTGATCATGTGAGATGGCGAAACATGACGGCCTACACCAACTGGCATGCCACGTGATGGTGGTGATTAACTTCAGCTTAAATAAAAAAATTTAAAAAAACTTTGGTTAAGTGAAAAATTTCTTTACAGTTTTAAAAATGAGCTGATCTTGTAGAAGAGTAGATGAACAGTATCCTGTCCCAAAAGCTGAGGTATTTTAACCATGTTAACATCAGTTTAACCTGTTGTGGCAAAGGTGAATGAAAGACATTGAAGATGCATTGGCTATAAAAGCACATATGGCTGGAGAATTCTCTAGAGACAAAGAGACTTCAGGCCTGCCATGATGAGAGCTACATTCTTTAACTCTTTGAGTCCCAGGGGGTTTAGCATCTTAGGCCTAAGGGGTAGTCAAGAAAGACGTAAAATCGGCGCATCTTGCGTTCATTGAGCTTCTAGGTAGGAATCTATGAACGTATGACGCGTTCCTTGGGACTCAAAGAGTTAAAGAACTTGCTGATTGATGATGATGAGATCATCAGTTGTTAGATCCTTTTTGACCTCATCTCTATTATTACTTTTTTTTCAGTTTCTGGATTTAGTGGAGCTTGCCAGTGAGCCACTGCATGTTGTAGGTGTGTCCATGGGAGGAACTGTAGCAGGCTTATTTGCTGCGGAGTACCCACACCTGGTTGGTGCACTCACCCTGACCTGCCCCAGCAGTAAGTGTTTTATGTTAATTGCTTGGTTTTGTTTGTGGTTTTTGTGTATGTGCCTACAACTGACTAATTTTTAAAAATAACAAATTGGGGGATGTGATTTCAACCGACTAAATTTGTTGTTATTGCCTGCGGTTGCCTAAATCAAGACCATCTCCATCTGTTGGGCCATGCCGCTGATGTCATCAAACCAGGCTAACGATACTTTAAGGGCAGGCAAACCCCTAAATTGAATTTGATTCAGTTAGCACGGTTTGATGATATCAGCATGGCCATCAGATGGAGACGGTCTCGATTTTGTCAGATGGAGATGGTCTTGACTAAACTCTGAACTGTGTAATCCCAATACTGACATTTATTGTACCTATAGCAGTATGACACTTAATCCATTTTTAAATGACCAACTATTTTATGAATTGTCAACATAAAAATGTCTTAGCTTCATTGTCTTAGACACTTGTAGGCACCACAGTGATGACTTTATAAGTAATTAAATAATAGACCAACAAATTAGTTTACAGGTAATGAAGAAAACTATCTTGAAGTTGTCCACTTAGAATATTGTATTCGAGTTTCCTATTTTGCATAAGATAATCAGTACTTATCTTCTTTTTGTTCACCGGCTGTAAGCTCCAGCGGAAAGTCCTGTTTGTTTGTCTATTTGAACTTTGGCTTTGTGCCAGGACCTGAGTTTTTGCGCGTATATCCGTCTTACTGGCTTATTTGTGTGCAATTAGTTGTTCCTTTGCCGCTCAGGCAGATGCAGTCTGACTTTGAATAAAGTCCCCAATTAATCGACCCCTACGACATGCTTGTTGGAGAGGTAGTGGGTCTATTCTTGTTTTGCCCCAGAACCCACACGGGGGGGGGGGGTTGGTACTTATCACAAACCTGCCTGCATGTCGTTGTAACATGAGAGTTCCTTCCTCTCCCATTCATGCCGTGGCCATTCCCCCGGCTTGTCCTATGTTGTGGCAGTGTCATGTTTTTCTTTTTTTCAAGGATTCAACCGTCTCTCTTGTCTCATGTTGTCACCATTCGATTGGGTAATTATTTGCACCTTGTGATACTTGCTTGACGGTTTGTGAGTATCGAAACTGTCATGTTTTTGTATTTCTACGTTCCTTTTCAGTGGCTACTTTTTCTGCGCTCATAAACAGTCATGCCTTCAGCACTTCTCCCTGCCGTACTTCTTACTTGTACACAGGCGCTTGCGGCATCTCAAACAGACTCATGACAACACCATCTACCACAATTGTTAAATGCAGCAGGCGAGCATAATATCCTCACAGCATAAAACAGGGCGTATGTATGGCCAGGACATAAAGGGGAGGGAAAGGAACTCTCACGATACGCCGACTTGCGGGCAGGCTCATGATAAGTACCAGATAATCAGTTGAATATTTGCTCACTTGGATTTGTGTCCAGATTTTCTGAGCTGTACAAGAACACTGGTTGTGTATCATTTCACCTGGATTATTGGTTTCAGTATTCCTGAATTGTGCAAGATCAGCAGTTCTTTGTTTCTAGAAATGTGAAAGATCACTTGCTATTTAATTTTTCAGATGTCCCATTGAGTATCCTCTTGTTTTGATTATTGTATTCAAGTTTATTGACTATAATAATAGTTGATCTGTCCAGTCCATTGGTGCCACATAATAGTAAATTGATATATGCTCATGTGCTTCTTTTAATGTAGATGTTATTGCGGTCTGGTCAAAGATAACAGACAGTCATGACTGGATCATTTAATCACTTTGCTTCTCAGAGGTCATTCCAGCCAGCAGCCATATCTGTTGGTTGTATGCTTTCCACAGTGGCCCCACCAGAAGCCAGACTTCAGGCTGATTCCTTTCCATGGCATGGCACACATATGAAGTTGATTTTTGTTAGCAAAAACTCATCAGAGGCTCCAGCCATTGTTTTCTAGCCCATTCCCATCTCAATCTTCCTGAACATACTCGTTGAATCACTGAAAATGTTACCTGTGTGAAGGTCTTTGTCTCTAGCCTAGTTACTGCTGTGACGTTCAGAGTACTTGCAGTGAGACAAAAGCCTCGGTCTTCCTTTACATTTCTGCCTTCAACCTGAACCATGAAAGCCCCTGAATGAGCTTTGCAGGTGTAGAACAACTGACCCATCCATGTAAATAACAATATCACATTGAGAATTCACAAATATTAATGTGTGACCTGTACCTCCACAGCTACAGGGTTTTGTTTTATGTATTTTCTGTTTAGTTTGATCTGCTCTTCCTCCATTTACTTCATTGAAGTGTTGAGGGGAGATATGAGGATCTTTACTGTGCTTTTTCCAGTGCATTGTATATATTGATTTTAATTTCTTAAGGGCCGCTCTTAATTGTTTTGTTTCATTTTCTGCATTATCTTTCCCTTGCTCTGTGTCGATTGTAATTCAATTTTTCTGAATTGTATAATATCAGCAGTTCATTTTGTTTGAGTTTCTGAAAAATCTATGAGATCACTTGCTAAGTTAGGGTTTCTCTTTTTTGTGTGTGTGTGTGTGCTTCCCTTCTGGTACCTAGTGTCATGTTTGATATGTCTTTTAAGCTTTCTGCTTGCAGAACTTGAATTACGCAATGAATTTAGCAGGTCTGCTTGTCTTTATTAGTGTTGAACATGTACAGTAAAATAGAGGTATGTGAATTTTGCAATTATAAGTGATTGTTGTAATGGCTTTGTTTGTAGATAGATACAGTTATCTTAAATATATGATTTATAATTTGTGAAATAGTCATATGGAGAACTATGTTTCTATGCAGTGAAGACACCAGTAGAGAGTCGCACAATTCAGGACAACAAAATACAAGTACTTCAGAATGGAGGTCTCCTAACCCTGGACAACTGTCCCATGTTACCACAGACAGCACAGAAGCTTCAGGCAATGCTAGATATCAGCCACTATTATAGAGTGAAATATCCACAACAGGTCAGTGCTTTCTGATACTGGAGCCCGGTGGTTCAGAACATATTAGTCTCTGGGACTACCCACATTGCAATGAAACTTACCATACCTAATACCATACTTAACAATACCAACCTTAAACAATATTCATTATTGTTACTGTAGCTTTTATTTCTGGGTTGCTGTCAGATGGTGAAAATGTTTCTGGGATTTTTTTTGTTTTGTTTTTTGTAACCACTAGTTAGTTAGTTGACAGATTATCCGCACTACAGCTGGCTTTCAACAGGTAGATGTCACTTGATGATTGTCAGGGTTCGTGAGGCAGGTGATAGAGTCAGAGCACCAGGTTTTGTGAGTCAGAGCACCAGGGTTCCAGAGGCAGGTGGTAGAGTCAGAGCACCAGGGTTTAAAAGGCAGGTGGTAAAGTCAGAGCACCAGGGTTTGAAAGGCAGGTGGTAAAGTCAGAGCACCAGGGTTTGAAAGGCAGGTGGTAAAGTCAGAGCACCAGGGTTCAAGATGCAGGTAGTAGAGTCAGAACACCAGGGTTCAAGAGGCAGGTAGTAGAGTCAGAGCACCAGGGTTCAAGAGGCAGGTAGTAGAGTCAGAGCACCAGGGTTCAAGAGGCAGGTAGTAGAGCACCAGGGTTCGGGAGGCATGTGGTAGAGTCAGAGCACCAAGGTTTGAGAGGCAGATGGTAGAGTCAGAGCACCAGGGTTTGAAAGGCAGGTGGTAGAGTCAGAGCACCAGGGTTCAAGAGGCAGGTAGTAGAGCACCAGGGTTTAGGAGGCAGGTGGTAGAGTCAGAGCACCAGGTTCATGAGGCAGGTGCTAGAGTGAGAGCACTAGAGTTTGAGAGGCAGATGGTAGAGTCAGAGCACCAGTTTTCTTGAGGCAGGTGGTAAAGTCAGAGCACCAGGGTTCGAGGGGCAGGTGGTAGAGTCAGAGCACCAGGGTTTGAGAGGCAGGTGGTAGAGTCAGAGCACCAGGATTCAAGAGGCAGGTGGTAGAGTCAGAGCACAGGTGTACAAGGTGGTCTGAACTGCCCTGACATACACACTCACTGCTTGTTAGGTTTTCTCTCACTCCCTGATCTTTCCATTCACCTCTCATAATGATGTAGGCATAATAATCTGGACTACTAAGCCATGCTAAATACTTTATTGTGACTTCTCAGACTCTCTTGACCACTGGATGGCCCATGAAAACGGCTGTCCCATGCCACTGAACTAGTTGCAAGAAAAAACAGTCACATAGTTGTTTTAACCACCATTTAGTTCTGTTAATCAAAGTAAGGTTGCATATAAAAATGTTACCACCCCTACCAGCTGTACTATCCTTATTAATATAACATTGTAGTTGTCTAGGCCGAATGCTTGATCAAAGACTGCCTTCAGCCTGCTCATAACATGAGCTCATTTTCATTACCTCTATTAGCCATATTTACTTGATCTCCACCTCTACTTGGATCTGGACAATGATGATGAACCAACAAAAAAGCAGCTTTGTCGTGAACCACATATAACACCTGTGAGAGAAGCTGTGTTATTGAAGATCTGTGATATTGAAGTTAATTTTGTGACTTTGGTCATGCATTACAGTCGGTGGTTTATATGTGCAGCGTGTTGCTTGCTTCAGTACTTCATTTGTTGCGGGGGGAGAGAAGTAAGTGTGTGTTTTGTGTGTGTGTGGAAAAAAACACCATTTTTAGTAATATGAAAATACATGACTTTGTTTTTCACGCAGATATTAAAAGGTGCAGTAGAACTGAGGAAGAAGAAAAATGACATCTATCTTCATTGTAAGTATTCTCTTGTTTGTAATTATGTTGTATGCTGTTTGTACTGGTTAATGATTTGATTTGATTCAAGAACCGACATCACAACACTTGGGGCATTCCCATAAGCGCTCCGTCCCCATCTTCAGCAGCCAGCGAAGAGTTCCGATACTAATGGTGCCAGTAGCATTCTGATTAAACGTCCGTCTTGCCTTTCCTCTTCATTTCCTAACACACCGGCGTACTCCGGTGAAAAAATCCAGACAATACTCCTCACCCATGGCCTCCGAAGCGAAGCATGCCACTCTGTACAAAGCATACCTGTTCTGATCTTCCTCAGCATGCTTTCTGAATCAGTTACAATTACAATGTGTGTGTGTCATGTTCTCTAGCCAGCGGAAAGCTGCAGTGACCGCCTCCACCTCCATTCTTAAGCTGAATGTTGTGGTATCATATGCTAGGCTTTCCTGCACCAAACGTCGACCATTAACTTTTGCTAAAAAGCCAGAAGCACTTCTTTTGCCTCTTGACACTGAACCGTCTGTGTAAATGATCAAATCCTCTGAGCCAGCATTATCTTGAATTAACTGCTGAATTTCCACCTCTGTGGCACCTGCTGGCCAGTCTCTACATTCCCAGCTCAGTGTGATTATGACTCTACACATGTCTGACTGTTCAGGTGGCACTTTGACCCACTCTTCTTCTCGCCTAATGTTCTCAAGGATGCAAACCTGTCTGATTGTGTCTTCTGTTTGTACTGGTTAAGTTTTGTTTTAGTATATGGAAGTGTAATTACTTGCCTTAATTGGGTTTTCTTGCTGCTTGTCATATAATACAATTTTTGATTTAAACTAACTCACAGGGAAGAGTGTATCTTTTAATTTGATAACATTTATGATGTTTTGTTGTTTGCATTTTTTAAATTAAAGTTTCCCTTTGGTTTTTTTCTCTTTTGATTTGACAGTGGTAAATTATCTGATATCTGAAGAATCCTCTGTCCTGTTGGAAAATAACTTGCATCGGATACAGTGTCCCACTCAGGTCATTTGGGGAAAGGAAGACTGGGTGAGTCAAACATTATTCCTGCAGTGCTGCATAATGTCATGTTGCAAGAGCTTGTTCACAATATATTTGTTGGCAGTACATGATGGCTGTATTAATGCAGTTGTTGCAAATAACAATTTTCTTCTTTGCGTTAAGAATTGTTTGCTGTTGACTGTGATCCCAGTGCTTGGGATGAAATATTTGACTTTGGTTATCAATCTCTCTCAACAGTTTAGTGGTATGGTGCCAAATATTTTATAATTCTGTGCTGCCTCCTGAACTCTTTCAGGTCGACATTTTTTCTAGATTTTGGACAGCATTAATTTTGAGCGCAATTTTTTTTTTTTTTTTTTTTTGCTGCCACATGACAAAGCTAAAACACTCCTGAAGAAAATGTATTGGCTGTATAGGGATATGTACTATATAAAATTAAAGAGAAATGAGTGCAGAATAAATCTAAACTATTTAAGTGTCAATATTACAACAGAATATTATTAAAATCACACAACATTCAAGGATGTTAGACATATATGAAGATTATTTACACACAAAAATGTGCTTAACTTACTTTTTACGTGTTTAACAGCACTGCTATCCAATTCTAAGAATTCATATGCCTTCTCTGTTCCATTGTATGTCAGCTTGTCTTTATTTGAAACAATTCATTTAAATACCCTGGGTGTTATGACAATTTTTGCCAGATTTCACAACAGCCCAAATCGGGGAAACAGCTGATCGAAAGATGATCCAGTTGAAATAATTTTTTCAGTGTCATCTAACCTATATTATCGCTAATAGGTTTGTCACTTGCATTATCAGTCCTAATATCAAGACTATTGTCACTATCTAGCTCAGGTTTATCAACAACAGAGTAGAAAGTGCAGTTCTAGACCCTTTCCCTTATCATTTGGTATAGACAAATGTAAAAAATTGTATCACATCTAAATAATTTAAATCACATTAAAAAGTTTTCCAAAAGCCATGCCGAACTTAAAAAACAAAAAAGACTCTGTTTTGCTAATTCTGGTTTTTAAAACATGTTCGTACAAATTCATTTTATCAGTAAACAAAACAATATTAGAGTGTCTCTATGAAACGCCACTTAACTCTTTAAGGCCCAAACAACGGTGTGAGCGTAGTTTGAGAAGTTCCGTTCTGCCCAAACAACAGTGTCATTGTCAAATCGTGTGTACCCTACATTTTGCTTCGCACGCGCGTTTGTACTAGTTTCTAATGTTTGGAGGTAGGAATAAACTATTCAGGGAAAGTCACTCTACCGAAATCCTTTTAGTTTCATTTCTTAGACTAAACCACACGTGGATAATTTGAGAGAGAAAAACATCGACATTTTTTTAACAGTTCATTTTCTAAGTTCGTTTTTGAGTGCCATGAATACCAATTTTCTAACCACAAGAACAGGTCGCAGAATGCGTCTTTCTGCGGCCGAAGTTCTGAAATTGTTTCAGTCAGATGTTTTTAATTGTGATAATGATAATAACAATTTTGATTTTTCGAAAAAGAATTCGGACGGTGAATTTTCACCAGTGAAGCTGAGCGATCAGCTGTTCCGAATCTAGCGATTCTGATGAGTTTATTACACAGACAATGTCCCATACTACCGTATTTATGGTGTAAGAGAAGGAAAGTGCTCTAAACAAAGAGACAGTACTATACTATGGCTAAGCTACATTGAAATCATCGCAGCTACAGTCTGTAAATAACTGTACAAAGTGAATAGTAAATAGTGTGTGTGTAATGGCTCATTTTTCTGCCATTTTTTTAATCTGAAATTTTGCTTAGCACTCGGTGAGAACTAAGAGCTCCTGAGTGATAAACTAACCCAGAAAGTTATCATAACTTTAGAATATGTTAGGAAATTGAACAAACTTTGAAGTTGTGTTCTCAAATTTGGATATTTACTGCTATTGTGGCTACAAAACCATGGTAAGTAAAGAATTTTTTTGTGAAATGTTGTCCTTGTGAAATTAACACCTGCTGAATTCTTCTTTTCCACTAACAATAACAAAATCAAACAAACACTTATCAACAGATTCAGAATGTACATTCATTTCTCTTTAAAAAAATGTATACTTTTATAGGGATTAGAAGTATATTACAATCTCTACAGCCTTTCTTGTACACCCACCCCTCTGCCATTTTTGTAAAGGGAAATTAATGTGGGCCAAGTCTGTCAAAATTCATGGGCCTGAAAGAGTTAAATGGCTAAAAGTCCGAACGGGATGGATTCAGAAGTGACTTAAGTGGCGACTAGTCCGTAAAGAGTTATGCTATGGTGTCCCAGCTGGCTATGGAAATGTTGAATGAGATCTTACATTAAAGCCTTAGATTAATATGGTATCTCTTTTTGTCCCAAAAAGCTGGTAATTTTACTGGTTATGCCCCCTGAGAAGGTGTACTTTATGGTAGCAGCCCTCGAGTCTTTATGTTTTAAAATTAAAACAACTATAAAACAGGAGTTTAAATAACAGTTGTGATCGAATGAGTTTATATAAAATAAGAGTGGGACGGAAGAAGTTAAGAAATCAACATCATGTGTAAAGTAATCTAATAAACGTGCGGAGAGTGTGCTGCCGTGATTTTGGTCACATGTATGAGAGAAAGTTAAGGTCAGACACACTTAGTAACAGGTGCTGTTGGCTACGAGAGAAGTCATTTTGTCTTGTATCTGTGGACTGCTTCCTTTTAATCCCAAAGAGGGCAGCTCTTGGCAAATGGGGGACTCTGTAAATGGATGTGAGATTACGCAGTCATGTTCAGGATGTGATGTTTTCTTGAGTGAGCTCAGTAGCAGAGCACTGTGTGAAAGCTCTGCGTTTATGGAAGCCTTCATGGATGGAAGGGAATACCCCCTGCCTTTTCCTAAGAGAGAGACCGAGCCATAGTGAACAAAACCTGGGGCTTTAGGGACAACATCTGAGAATATGATGATAAAGAAGTCACCACATGAATGAGGCTTTGAAACTGACAGGAAGGTTAACCAAGTAAAGAATCTCAGATTAAGTTGTATGTTTTGGCAAAAATTGCAGCTATGCTATAAACACGTACAACACAGTTAATGTCACTCGAGCTAAGAAGAAAAACACTGAAAGAGTTGATGTTTTTTATGTTTCATGTGAAAATGATGTATGTGTGTGAATACTGCTTCTGATAATTAGTACTGAATAACATGAAAATGACTAGAAAGTTCAGCAGAGGCAATGGAAAAGATGCACACAAATACAACCAACGTTTCAACCAAATTATATTTTGTACGCGTCTTTTCCATTCCCTCCGTTGAGCTTTCTAATCACATGAGCAAGTCTTGTCATCAGCTTGGCTGCAGTTACCCCTTCTTTACGTCATCAGTGCTGATAGTGCTGAAGTAAAGGATGTAGACAATTGTATTGCTCATTGTTTTGTTTGTCATTACAGATTGTGGACATCTCAGGAGTGGATGTGCTAAGAGAGAAACTTGCAGACTGCAGACAGATCCTTATTCTAGAAGAATGTGGCCATGCCATCAACCTAGACCAGCCAGTGTTGTTTGCCAAGGCCATGCTCCAGTTCTGGTTCCTACATAATTCTCAGGAAAACCTGGCCAAAAGTGTGTCATGATAAACATTGAGTGCTTACAGTGATGAGACATTTCCAGCACCTATATTATAATAAGCACAAGGCTAACATGTGTTCACATGACTGATTGTTCCAGTGATTCTTATTTTTCCTTCTTAATTTCCTTTTCTTCATTTACTTTGAAATAACCACATCTGTCTCTCTTATAAAGTTAGCAGTCTGGCTTGTGGTGTTGCACTACAGCAGGGCGATTCAACTGATGGACCATAGAGGTCTGGCAAGTGGCCAGCGGATCACCTGCCAATTGTATTATATTAATGATCTTTCTGTGCTGTGGCTCAGATCTCTGGTCCCATTTTCCAACCTATTTGCCCTTAAGTAAACTTAGTTGAATAGCCCTGCTCTACAGGGTGTCCCATCAGTTACTATACATAGGGAGAATACATTTTTAATAACAAGGTTTCTTTAATGTAATATGCTCTACGTGGTGACCGTTGTTTTGAAAATGCGTGCCCTCCACTGCTGAAGAACACGTAAAAGCATGGCTGGTGTTATGCTCATAATGGTGTTGATGATATGTTTATTTTTTCCTATGTGTGGAAACTTGTGGGACATACTTCTCTGTCACACATCTAGCCAGCCATCTTGTAAGCTTAGTTTGTCCTGTACACACATAATCTGTCTGCCCAGTTGTCATTTTGTCCAACCTTTCAAATTTGAGTGTGCTGTGACTGGTTTTCTGAAGTGGAGTATAATTTGCCAGATTTCATATTTACAAGTTCATAATTATTTACCAAGTAGCAGCCGTGGTTCTCCAGGCACGAACAAATCAATGACATTGTACTAGTCTCTTTGTTCTTTTCTTTTTTAGTGGGCAAAGTTTTCCAGAAATATTGTCCTCATGCAACATAAATACCACAGTTCCTTACAAATATTGTTTGTGTGTTGACCTAATTCAGAACTGCATTGTTACTAAACATTTTGAGATATATTATCTCTGTACATACTTACTGCACAGCTGGATGGCTCAGTTACAAACCTCGGTAATATATTTGTGGCTGTGTGCTTCAAATAGCATGACAAGCGGTCTCCTGATTACATGTGGCTGTGATATTGTTACTCCTTCGCCCCTACAAACATGACATGCTCGGTCTTTTTGAATCCATGTCTGTTATAAATGTGAACTGTGGCAGCACACTGTCAAGCGCTTGCCTTGCCTTCCAACTAATTGTCATGTGATCAAATTTATATCTCCCCCTGTTGCATTTGGGGCTCCATTTGAGGAAGGAGGGATATTAGATCCACTGCATCCTAACAGTCATGTCGTTAAAAAAAGCGACTTATTAGGTATTTCCTTCAAAGTCTGAAATCATCAGCCTGAGAGGAAAGGAACCAACAGTCTGCATACTAATAAACCAGATCTGTAAAATGGATGTGTACACGAAACTCAAGTACTGGAACAAGACTAAAGTCCAGACAGAAGTGGACAAACAATCGGAACTTTTCGCCTACAGGTGTGGTGAACTGTCCTTTACGTGACGAGTACCATGTTATACATGAGTGGCTACAGCACTGTTCAGGTTGCCGCTTTGAAATTACTGAGGTGGAATAAGTCAACATTAGTCAAAAGAGTGCATGTTGTGAAGTTGGGGGATGTGTTACATGAACATGGCCGTATTTAGGTGTGTGCAACATGTGCAGCTGCACAGTGCTGTAGAATTTTTGAAGTCAGGGAAATATAACTAGAATAATTTTTTTATTTAATGGTGTTTTTTTTTTTGGGGGGGGGGGGGGGGGGGGGGGGGGGGGGGGGGGGGCATAAAAAATATTTTAAAATGTTCATTTTGTTTTACTTTTAAAGCTTTCATCAATATGGAAGCTGCATTAGATTAGTGTTATAGCATTAAAGTAGTATGGTATATTTAGTGCACCTTTTCACCTTCAGATGGTGTACAGCGATGCGTGCTGTCATCAGCCCAGTTTTGTGATGCTTTTTTGGACAACGGGATTGTTAGAGCTAATGTCCCAAACCTCACAGTTAACAGCAAAAACGTCAGAAGAGAATGCAGACTTAGGTACCTGGGGACTTCCATATAAATAGGCCAGTCCTTCAATGATCATGTGGAGGCTTTTGCAACAAAATGTCAAATGGGCTCATTGCACTAAAAATTATGGCAACAATGGACATGGAGCAAAGAATTTTGTTCACAATGTACCAGAATTTGATCATCTCTCTGATGGATTATGGACTGGGACTGCTCAGTGTATGTAGCCAGTCAAGCTAAAAAAAGCACCTTCTTCATGAAGTCCTGGCTTTCTTTAGAGGGCCACAGGCTTATGTGGGGGAAAGACTTGGGCAGTGCAAGCAGAAGACACAATTAGAGATATGTGTAGGCTTTGAAAGCATTGGGCAAGGAAAGGAGTGGGCCAGGGTGTCCGAGCAAAAATCATCAGACTTGTGTAAGCGTAACCATATTGGGCCATGAGTGCAGGGAGTGGGCAGCAGGCTTTTCGTTGTAGGAAACACTAAGTGTCCATGCAGCGTGGCGCCCGAAAATGCTGAGCATGTTCTCCAACACTGTAAGCTGTATGCTGACGAGACGCAATCTGGCCTGTTCCAACCACAATGAAGACAAAGCTGTATGGAACGCAGGAAGATATGGACTGCGCGATAGCTTTCATAATTAGACTTATATAAGTTTTCTGACAGAGGGATCAAAGAAGAAGTTGGGATTGATTAGGCAATATCCTGTAAAGTATATACCATATTTTACTATATACTTTTTATTTTAAATAAATTTTTCATTTTTGAACTAGCACATATGTTCCATCTGCTGTGTATTCAGTTAAGTTTGAATACTTTGGTACGATGTAAAATCGAAGTAAATGATTCCAAACATTAAGGTGGGTAAACGAACAGTAATGCTGAAGATTGGCTAAGGAAGGCCTAAAATAAATGACTGACTGCACACGTGCATCATACATCCTAAATACAGGCCTGGGCGTGAAGATTGTTGTCTGTGTATGCTTGCTGTGTAACTGTGAAATCTTCATTTAAAATCTGATTTCTTGTTGACAAATTCCAGATTTTACTGAGATTTTTATGAACTAACAATCATGTAATTTATTTCTCTTATTGGTTTTTAATGTTTATAGTTATTTTTTTTTTTTTTAACCGAAATGTTGACTTTACACTTTCCAGATGGACAGTAATGACAGTACACAGTGTCCATCCACATCCAGATAAACAATGCACGATGTATCCTACATCTCGTTTGACAGTTTTTCAGTTAGTCATAAATTTTTAGACGTTCATTTTGTTCTTATTATAAAGCTGAGTTTCAATAAGCCGCCAGCCTTTATTTTTTATATCCCTCCTCTGTTTTCAAAAGGAACCTCATTTCCCACCCTGTGACGTATTCAGTTTTGAAATTGCCGTAGCTGAGGCAGTGTGTTTTCACATCTGCGTGATTCTACCATTCCATTTAATGAAAATGATTGCTCAAAAAAAAGAAAATATAAACTAAAAATAAGTTCGTTAGTTTATGGCATCTTGTTTGTTAACAAAGATTTAATAGTACCAGAAAATTATACAAGTTCTGCAGAAGTCAGCAGCCAGGCATGATTCCAGGCTTGGTTTAAAAAAACAAACATGTTTTAAACATTAAACAGGCACTGAAATGGAAAACAGGCTGAGAAAATGAGGGTGTCCAAGAAAAACATTAAGGTGAACATTGAAGTGAAGGACCATTCATGATCCTGAAAATTTTTCACATGATAGAATGGAATGGAGGAATAGACTGGGAGCACTATGTGACTTATAGATGGTAACAGATTATAATGATTCCATGGTTTACACAGCACATGTTGGTTCATCTAGTCATCATCATCCTTAGTTTACACTGTTGCTGTTAAGGAGTCGTGAGGAGGGACAGTTTGTGATCCATTGTTAGATGGGTAGCAATGTCTGTTGTCGTCCCGAATCAATGTAGAAGGTCTTTAATGTCATCAGTCCATATTCTTCTAGGGTGACCTCTTGCTTCCACATCAGATCTTTTCAGCTATAGCTCCTGTGTTAGTAGTTGTGGCTGCATTATAATGAGATGACAAACCATTTGATCTTCTTTTTCTTAGTGAATTAGGTGCAAGGTGCTGTTCCAACTATCTATCTGATAGTATTATTTCTAATTTTTTTCTCAATGGTTAGCGACTTTACCCAGGTTTGTCAAGTGATTGTACTAATTCACATCCAATATTAAAGAGGACACATAACATTTGGAGAAAGGGAGGAAAGTTGTTTGTTGGAACACTGTGTTTGATACATATAATTATAATGATTGCCTACACCTGTAGGAAAGACAGCCTTGCATACCTCAAATGAACAATCAAAATATTTAAATCATTTTATGGAATCCTTTTGATCTGGAAATGATAATGTCTGCTGCCTGATTTCTGTAATGAGACCCAGAAACCACATGTTGACATAAGGTTTAAAGGAGCCTGTAGGGGATTCACAAGCTTAATGATTTAGATATGACATGCTGTGCATTTAGGAAATCAAATCTGAGATAATTGAATGAGTTTAAAAGGTCAGATGATGGGGATTCGGTTTAAGAAGTCATGTATTGAATGGATTTTTTGAGTTTACAAAGTCAGATGTTAGTGAACTTAGTTCATTAAGTATGTAAAATACTAGGAGGAGTTTAGTTTAAAAAGTATGTATTTAGGAGTTAGTGAGTTAAAATCCAGTTTTAGGGTGTCACCTTCTTTTAGCATTTCTTAATAATAAATGTAACTTATGTGTTAAAGGTTAAAGTTGAGAGGATCCTCTGCAATGCCCTGGGTTTTATTCAATATGGCTGGGTCTCTCTCTACAGAACGGCTAGCTGCCTGTTTAGAGCATAGTACAAAGCACGTACACCACAGCTCCGGCGACGACCACCAGGGGTCTCCATAAATATTGCACTCATGAACCGAACAGTGCAGCGGTTAAATGAACCCGAGACCCATACACATACAGAAAGAACTTTTTTTCTTCTTCA